ATTGTGTTCTGGTCAACTCTGATAGATCCTTATTAAAACACTATCGTTCTTTCTTTGTATGCATGGCATTACAAAGATCAACTCAAAGTACCAAAGATGGAGATGGGCACGAATCCAACACCCAAGGAGAGGCAACTGAAAATTCACACACCTGTTGCGATAACTTTGGAGCCCTTAATAATTCCCTCGCTTCCAAATTGTTATTGTACCTTTCCAGGGCAAGAAGGGGATAATGAAAGGAGCATCTAAACCAGCATCCTGCTGTTGCAGCAATGTATGGAAGGGGGAGAAACATGTGAGCGCCGCGGAGCCGCAGAAGGATACTCCTGTGGCGTTTGGGAAAGGAAGGAGCTATGGAGGCTGAGCAGCAGCAGCAGCCCAGGGCGAAAGATGAGAAAGAGAGCCCGGGAAATGTGAGAGAGTTGAACCTGGCGGGGAGTTTCGGGGACAAACGCAGGCAGGCCCCCGACGGCCGGCTCCATCGCCCACTCACCATGTCGTAGACGTTGAGGATCACCAGCTGGTTCGCCATTCTCCCCTCGCGCGACTCCAGGCGGGGGTCCCTCTCAGGCCTCGGGCGGCGGCCTCGGGGCGCTCTCGGGAGGCCCCCCGGGCGGCCGCCGCCTCCTTGTCCGGCCTCTGGCTGAGGGGCGCGACGGAGCCGCCGGCAGCATGGAGCCGCCTCCGCTGAGGGAAAGAGGGGAGCCGGGGCCGCGTCCCCACGAAGCCTCCTCGCCCCGCGCTCGGCAGACGCGAGCCGAGAGCCGCCACCGGCACCCGGGTGGGGCCCAGCGCAGCTCCGCCTCTCTTGTTTGTCTCCGGGCTGCTGCCGCCGCCGCCCGCCCCTACGGGCCGCGGGGGACGCGCGAAAGTGACCTTCCCTGAGGAGCGGCTGTTGCGCCGCCCGCGCGCCCCTTCCTCCCCCCTCGGCCAACGGCTTTCGCGAAGGAGCCCTTCCAGCTTGCCCACATCTTCAGCGCCGGGGAGGTGAGGCGCCCAAACTACAACGCCCAGCATGCAGCGCGGCGGGAGGAGGCATGTTTCCCGGCAGGCCAAAGGGAAGAAGCGGGAGCCCTTTCCCCAGTTCTGCCTTCTTCTGGCAGCTGGAATGCGCGAGGGTTCCTCGACCAACGGCCTTCCGAATGTCCGCGCGAAAGTTCGCCTCGTGTGACCCGAGGCGGGGGCAGCTGGCTGAGCGCCCTCGCTGCCGCTAGGGAGACGGGTGCGGTGCCCGGTGCGTATGTGAAGGAGCCCCCGCTTCCGGAGGAGCTGCCCCAAGATGAGAGGCTAGCCAGCCAGCTCAGAGCAGGGCGCACGCAGGATTCGAGCCTTTTTGCTTCTTTGTGGCCTTGTGCGCCCGCTGGAATAGGAGAGGAGGAGAGGGGGCTCAGGAGCGGGCGTGTACAGCGCCCGATCCTATCTGGAAGCCCCTTTGCAGTGCTTTTGCTAGGAAGGGAGGCAAGCGGGAGGAGGGCAACTAGCTGGTGGCAGCAGCAGCAAGGCGACAAGGCAAGGAACTGCTCGAAAGAGCCCAACGGTACAATCCCAACCGTGCTTACTCAGAATTAAGTTACTCTTGAATCTGGTGGGTCTTACTCCCGGGTCAGCGGGGGTTCAAGTGGCCCGCCCCACTTCCTCCCCTTCAGACACACCCTGCAAACCCACTTGCACTCTGGTCATTCCTCTTCCCCTCGCCTCGCAAGCGGCGCTTAACATCATCAATCGCTGGCCTCCTCTCCATGTGCAAAAGGAGGTTCTTTTTAGAACAAATCACAGACTCTTGTTATGTGCAACCTGGGGAAACTCGGTTTAAGCAAAGGAATTGGCAAACCGGGCTATCAAACGACAGTTCCAAGTTTGTACGTTGGAGAGAACTGTGATTTCTTCCAAAGTGAAAGCAGCAGCTTTCTTCTCATCTACAAAGAACAGAAGTAGGGAAAGCACACGACGCTGACAGTTGCTATGCCTAATTCATAGTCAGTTTCACCATAATGAGATTATAATTTGAACAGGACTATAAATTCATTACAGTAGCAGTGTTTTAAACCTATGAACAAATAGATGGTGATCACCACATCCGTGTTATCTGCATAAGGATGCAATTAACATTTCAGGTGTGAAATATGGCTATGGTCGTGTTCTGCTTCCTGTCTGTTACTTTTTCATTCTTTATCTGGGCACAAGCTGTAATCACCATGAGAAAGGTCTGCTGTCCCCTGGCACAACATTCCCCTGACATCCTCTTCCTCTTCCCAATTGCTTAGTGCCCTAGTACCATCCTTTGCTCCCACACTGCCCAGCAGCCGTTTGTCAGTGCTGCCCAATTAATGTCCCCAAATTACTATTTAGCAACCAACACTGCCTCGTGATCTCTCTGTATCAACCAATGGCGGCGCAGAAACAGAGCACCTGATTGCTGTACTGTACTTGAGTGGGGCTGCTCACTCCCACAGGTTGAAGTAAGAATATATTTCCCAGGATGACCCACAGCCATTTCACAGCACCTTGGAAAACATAATTCCTTCTATATATATGTGCTCATTATATGCAAATAAAGGGATGGGGCCATAAGAATCATAAGTAAACCTTGGAGCGGCCCTTTGGTGCCCTATCTCCTTTCCTGTTTTGTACATAGCATTTGGGAGCCAAAGAAAAGACTGTCTAGTTTCAAAATCAAGGTCGAAAGACCAATGAGCTGTACAAGAATGCTGCATTTCTCACACTTTTTTTCATTTTTGGTAAATCACTTTCAATGGATTGTTGCACTGATCATTACTAGGTTCCCTTTCAGCTCCCAATTCCATTCAGCCTAATTTGGAGTTTAGAATAATTAGAATAATATTGTTCTAATATGGAGTTTTGATATACTGTATACACATATGACGAAATAACTTTATTTTTTCCGCAGCAGAGTTTAAATGGTGTAGGAAATGAATTTGTTTTATATTGATTTGAAGCTTGCAATGTGCTATTTTCAGATGGTTTTTTTTTATTAAAAAAACAGATATCAAATTTGATTCAGAAGAATGTGAAAAGTGGTGGGGGAGAGTTTGTTTAGTGGTGGTGAATTCTTGTTTAGGATACAGTATATCTTTCTGAGCATTTTAATGTAAGGAACAACAAACTGTGTTCTTAAAAAAATATTAAACTAGGGAGAAATGGTTGCCCTCCAGATGCTGTTGCATCACAGCTCCCATAATCCCTAACCATTGGTCATGTTAGTTGGGGACCACAGCTCAATGATAGAGCATATATTTTGTGTGGAGAAGGTCCCAGGTTCAATCCACAGCATTTCAAGGCATGGCTGGGAGAGACCCCTGCTTGAAATCCTGCAGAACAGCTGCCAGTCAGTGTAGACAGTACTAAGCTGGTTGGACCAATGATCTGACTTGGTATAAGGCACCTTCCTATGGAGCTGTCAGGAGTTCAGCAACACTTGGGGGGACACAAACGCTAAATGGGCCATCCTCATGTTAAACCACATTTTCCGTATCCAGTGTTTATTAAATGATGTATCAAGGACCAATGGGGAACTTCAGTGTCACAGCTTGCCCAGTGCCTCTTCCCTCCCCCTGCCCGATTGTGCCATTGACTTCTGATTGGACTGAAACCCACACCAACAGCTCCCCATATGCTAGGCATAGGCGCCGACTCCATGGGGCCTGAGGGGGCTCGAGCCCCCTCAAAAATTTTTTTTGGGGGGCTCAGCCCCCCCAATAATCTCGGGCGCCCTTCCAGCAGAGCGCCGCCGCCGTCCCCCGCCTCCTCCCCACCTGCTCCCGCGCCAGCCAGCCAGCCAGCCGCGCGCCCTAGTCGGAGAGCCCCGGCCGTCCCCCGCGAGATTAGGGAATCCCCGGGGGCGGGGGCTCCTGCCTCGCTGCTTCGCAGCACCACCGCCACTGCCAAGGCACTGCCAGGGGGAATTTCCTTCCTCCTGGCCCCCGCGAGAACAGGGGAATCCCGACTGGCCACACCTCCCAGCCAGCCGATTGGCTGGCTGGGGGGGCGTGGCTTGCCCTATTTAGGGCCGGAGCCACTTTATTTGCATATTCATGAGCTTATTTATTATTCATGAGCTTTCCCGGGCCCCCCCAATATTTTTTATAAGTCCGCGTCCCTGATGCTAGGTAAAGGTGGCTGGGAGACAAAGAAGTTCAGAGGGGGAGGGAAATGTGGTGTCCCTCATCTGAGGGCAGGGGAAAGATGCTGAAAGAAATGAGAGAGAGATACAGGGTTAATTTTTTTTTAAAGAATAACAACAATAAAGTGGTAATAGAAAAGTTGTTATAGAGGGAAGAAGTCAATGCTAAAGGGAACAGGGAGGAGGGTTGAAGCAAACAGGCAGTTTGGAGAAGAATAAGGCACAAGTATGACAAGGGATAAAAATACTTGGGGAAACATGAAAGACAGGAGGAAATATAAAGCAAAATCTTTCTCTACTCCAAATTAGCAAATTTCTGGCTAAAATGGAGAGGCTGAGTTTCAACAGCCTTCACAGCCAATGTATGCTCTTAGCATGAATGAAACTGAGCTATGGAACTCCTTGTCACAAGAAAATCTCTGAAGCAAAAAACTTGAGAAATTTCAAAGAGGGATTAGGTATCAGTAGAAAATGATGCCAGTAATTGTTAGCCGATTACGCCAAAGTCTGCCTACCTCTGCTACAATTTTGTGACTGGTGGGTCTCAGTAATTTTAAGCTATATCAAATTGGAATGGAAGGTAGAGAATTTGAGAACATGTTTATTGCTTGCTATAAATATTTGTTCACAGACATTTGTCCTAACACCCAAGCTTGTCACTTATCTACCACCGTTATGAATAGTACTATGAACAGTGCTAAGGATTAGTGTCTCACACTGAACATTCACTTACTGTGAAAAACTCTATAAATTGAAAGTGGAGACACTATATGTTCTTTCCATTGTCTGTTTGTTTATTTTGTAGCACAATAGAATCTTCAATAAAAACAACATTTAAAAAAACAACCAGTGCTAATGATTCAGTTCTTGAGTATCCAGAGGTCATTGTTAACATAACAGAACCATTCCTGAATAAATATTTTATTTTATTGTTAAAAAATTATTGCACAGAAGGAATGGACCAATTTGGGATTGGGATTTTGAAAAATATAAGATGATCAGCTTTTGAGGGTTTTAGAGAATGTTAGAAAATTGTGTTTAAAAGTATACTTGTATTAATCTTAGTTTGAAACATTACAACATTTGTTTAAAACATTACAACAATTGTTTAAAACATTACAGTATTGTATGTTCATATGCAGTTTATAAGTACAAGTAATAATTTGTAACTGGGTTACTCATATTTCTTTGCTTCACTTGAAGAAACCATTGAAGTAATCTCTGAATTAAATGACACCACTGGGTCCACAAAATGGAGTGCCCGAAATAATTTCACATACCGATAGTAGCTGAAGGCAAGGACTCCCCAAAAGAAAACAACTATCAGACAAGCCCAACCGGCAATCTTAAGCATGTTTAGGCTAAAATACAAACAAAATGGAACATAAGTGTTTGTGTGTTCATTCAATGAGCAGCTGGATGATGATGATGATGATAATTTATTTATACCCAACCCAGCTGGCTGGGTTTCGCCAGCCACTCTGGGTGGCTTCCAACAAAATATTAAAAAAAACAATAGAATGCTTTATCGTCACAAGCTCCACTGAATGGAATGTAATTATTTGTTTAGCTTCCAATACATGTAGAATTTTATTGGAACAGAGCTGGGGTGTGTTATAGTAGCTTGTGCCCCTCTCACCCAAACCTGACACTGCTGTGGCACTCACCATGCACGCCATACTCAACCCTTCTTCGAGGGGGAAATCGGAACCCATTCCAGGCACTGATCCAGTGAACCAAACCAGCTTGGCCCAGCATGGCTAATCTATCCCACAGATTAGCAACTGTGGGTGGGTGGGACTAGGGAGATAGGCAAGAAGGGGTATATATCCCATTATTAAATATCCCAATAAGTTATCTCCCAGTCATTTCCTTCCAGGGGGAAATATGCAGCTGGCACAAAGACATATAAGAGTAAGCTGCTGTTTGTCCCCACCAAGGCCACCATAGCTACAACCACCACTGCAGAAGTCAGAGCAGTGACTCCAATCAAAACTGCAGCAGCAACTGTTGGATTGACATACATGTAATCTTCTCCCCACAAGACTCCGTAGAATGGAACTGAAGAGATTGAAATGCCAGTAATGGAAGCAGGGACTCTGCTACCTGAGTGTTCCCGTTTAGCTCCACCTCAAAAGAACCCATATCGCTCCTATTTTGCTCCAAAAGCTGCATTCTGCTGGTGAACAAGACAACTGTCTCTGCCATCTGCCTGCATGTCCAATGGGATCTCAAAGCACCTATGTGCAACTGCTGGGATTGTATTATGGCTCCACCTTGTCCTCTGGGCAGAGCCCTAGGTGTCAAGAAACATTTGCCCCACTTTCAAACAAACTGGCTCAATGATTGCTATTGTTGTTAATTCATGTGTATATCCTGACTTTCAACCAGTTTGAGGTCCATAGAGATAAAAATGGCAAATACCCTTTGTATACTGTACAAAGTATTGCTGTGTTCTTTTAAAAGAAAAACCCTGCACTCAAAACGGTGAATTCTGGTAAGGATACAGGAATAAATTCCCTTATCGCAGGTGTTAGAAAGAATTCCTCTCCCATCCAAATTAATGCTCTACTATTAAAGTTTGACAAAGATGATGGTAGAAGTTACAGATTGACAGAAATGCATTTATTTTGGATTCTTTTGTAAGCTAAATAAGGAAAGTTAGCTGGGGAATGGAGAGATCAGATAGAAGTAGAAGCAAAATAAGTAAGAAATCACATTTTTTTCATGAGTCTGTAGTAAGCAACTATTTCTAGTTGCATGTGTGTGAGAAAAAAGAATGTTTTAGGGAAGGAAAAAAATGAACTCTTGATACCTTTTGAAAGACTTACTAGATTTACTGTGTTGAAGGCTTTTGTGTACAAGAGCCCATATAATCAGACTAATGATGTGCATCTTTAGGTTGCAGATAGAGTAGAAAAATATATAATCAGTAAAGCAAAAATGCAAGTATGTGATGATTCTATGCAAAGTGAAAGTGCAAATTCAAAACAGCTGTAAGTGGTGATAAATTCGGGTATAAGTGCTAAGAAGATGGCATTGTTGCTAATTCCTGCTGTTTTAAATGATTGCCTACTTACATTAAGCTTTGCATAGAAATATAATTCACTTGCATTTTGTGGCCTTTCAAATCCACCACCTCCATCCCACATTCCCTATGTAGAAACACACATCTGTCATTGGAGGATTCACTTTATGTATCTTTATGTAACTGACATAAGCTTTTACCACAATATGTATCAGTCTTCAAGATGTCATTTTTTGTTGTTGTTTTTAGTAGGGTGGGTATTTTAACACATGGCTGGAATATTGAGGAACATAATTTGCTTGCTTGTTTGAATTTTCAGTGTATTTGTAGTAAAAGTGTGTCATGAATAGCTACTTCTTAATATCAATACCCTGAATGTAGCATGGTCTGTTGGCTTTTATATGCATAAGGGATCACTTTTTGAAAGCATCTCCACATCAAATATCTAGGGTTGGACCTGAAGATGAAATTGTACATTTTCATAAGACTCCCATAGCTCATGATCTAATTTTCTGAGTCAATTTTTTACACAGAGAGAATGTTAACATTCATATTATCAATCTTCCATTGAACTAGAAAAAAATCTGCAAGCCTCTAGGCTTTTTAAGAATGTAGAAAGTAAATACATCTTCCCAGATTTCAGAACATGGAGTTTGTTCAACGGATTTTTACTAATCTTTGTATCAGGATTTTTACCAAACTTTTGTGCAGGAAAAGGAACTAATGCTTGATCTCATGCCAACAAATCAAGGGTACTAATGCCTACCTTTCAATGATGCCATGTGTCCGAACTGCAAAATAAGCTTCATAAGGACAAAAGCTGGAATAAAAAATGAGAGACTAAACATTATTTTTCATAACTGTAAACTACAACAGTCTTATAATGAGAGGGAAACCAGCTTATAATTAGAGGGGAACCCCGAAAGGGTCAAATTTTAGATGATTACTGCTTCAGAAAAATCAAGTGTAAGATTCATGACAGTGATGATACTGTGAGAAGAGTGGTGACAGATACATTTGGGCCCTTCAGAGACGGGGCTACTGATACTAGTAGTCCTTGATAGCCTTAACCAACATGAACAGGACGATTCTCCTTCCATATCAGCATGTGTTCTCTGCATGAGTATAAGAAAAAGGGCATGCTACCACAGCCCACACCCCCCAGCACCCTCATTTGTGAGATTGGTTATGTAACTGTTTTTCCATATGTACATATGTACAATCTCATTTGTGAGATTGGTTATGTAACTGTTTTTCCATATGTACATAAGAAGCTGTAATTGCTGTTGTTTGTACAGAGATTAAATTAGATGAACACACACACTGCATGGGTGTGTGTGAGGTTATTCTACTCTAAGAAAATATTGTGTGTAAAAGAAAGCAGAACTGATAACAAACTATACTTGCAGATTGACTGATTTTGTCTTCCTCCTTGGATACCATCAGTTTAGCCCATGTGCAGAGGCGATATGCCAGGACCCTCCCATATCACAAAATGAGTGAGATTCAGAGTTCTGTGTACCTTATTTTATTTAAATTGTTTTACTGTATTTGTCATCCAATAACTAAAGTTTTCTGGGTAATATTCAGCACAATGAACTGAAAATCTGCTATGTTATTGTGTTCCTAAGTAACAGTTAGATGTCATCTCTGCTATTGACCTGTTGTATAATGTACACCATATATGACACTCAATATTAGTTCTATATACTCAAAGAAGACCCATTGAAACTATTTAACTATTTAATTGAAACCATTGGACTATTTAAGTAACTTAAGACCACTATTTCAATGGATCTACTTTGAATACGAGTTGAGTATCGTCCCAAACACTTAGGAATTAACTTAATTACAAATTTATAAACATGTTCCATTCAGGTATAATTATATTCAACAAAAGAGGTTTAAAGACTGTCTCAAGGCAAATCTAAAAAAATGTAGTATAAACACCAACAAATGGGAAACACTGGCCTGCGAGCGCTCCAACTGGAGAACAGCCTTTACCAAATGTGTCATGGGCTTTGAAGACACTTGAACTCAGGATGCAAGGGGAAAGGTGTTAAGAGGAAGGCACGCTTGGCAAATCCACACCGTGATCAACTCCTGCCCGGAAACCAATGTCCCCACTGTGGAAGGACGTGTGGATCCAGAATCGGCCTCCACAGTCACTTACGGACTCATTGTTAAAACCGTGTTTATGGAAGACAATCTTACTTGGCAACGAGTAATCACCAAAGAAGAAGAAAGAAGATATTTAACCATACAGCTGCTAATTATGTTAAAGCTAACCTGTAGTTTGGATCCATTATCTTCAATCTGAACAAGAAAATGCCATCATAGTCCTGAGGCCAAATGATAGAGTTGATGCCAGAATGGTTCATGAGTTCATATTGATTATCTAGTGTTCCTAGAAGTCCAGCACCACCACTCATAAAACAGGACACGTAATTCTGGGTGGGGAAATGTAATTAATTTACCATAAGACAAACATCCATAATACGTGAGGAATATGGTAAGTACAAATAATATACCTGCTTTATGTCCTAAAGTGTTTCCATAATAAATAAGTAGCTGATTCCATAGTTGTTGGGTTGGAAAAAATAATTAGGTACAGCTTAAGACACGATAGTTTTCAAAGTATTGGCAAATCATGCAATCCAGAACATCAGCAAAGCTGGTGGGTAGGAGGCAGACCAAAGATGGAAGATCCAAAATATCTAAAGCTCTGCTTGGGACACACAAACAGGGTGGATAGAAGGGTGGAACTCCCTTTCTGGCCATTTTTGAGAGGGTGGGAGTAACATTACAATTTCCCACCTATTGTTTCCATGGGGTATATTTTGTTTTGTTTGGCGTGTGTAAGAAGAAGGGGAAGGCTCTGGACTCATGCCCCCTTTTTACCTCTACTGATATCTGTTAGATAAGGGCTACATATGTTTCTACAGGGCTGATAGGTGCCTTACAAGGTCAGATTTCCTGTTTCAAGGTACGGCACCACCTGCTGCCTTTGGAGAAGGAGATCCAAAACATCATATAGCTCTAGAGATGCACTGCCAGTGACCACAGGATTGTGCCCTAAGTATTGCATTGCCTCTTGAATATTAATTTGTGTGTCCTGATCAATATTCATAGGCAAAATACCACGAGAGCTTCAGAATTCATATTATTAATTTCCTTATTATATACATTTTCTTACATGTCTCCCCCAATAGCGATCTATAGTATATGCAGTAATGCTTTCTAGATCCTGAGGAACCATTGAAGACATATTTTGTGCTTTGCTCAAACAGCGTACCTGTTCAAAGAATATAAATGCACAAAGTAAAACAGAAATCACATGCACAGTCTCACCCAAAGTCTCAGCTGTACAGCATATTTAAATTTTATCAATCTCTTAAGCTTGATATAGATATTAATGAAACTGGAAAATATAAAAGTTTAAAGCATTGTAACACAAATACCACCCTTCATAGATTTCAGTCCATCCTGTTTTGCCTCCTGACACCTTGTCAACCTTACTGGGATCTCAGGTAAGGTCATGTGCAGCATTCGGAAGCCTTATATGGTCTTGTGGAGGCTCTCACAAGAGCTTGCCAGAAGCCACCACCGCATCTACTTGCTTCTCTGGTAGTGTGTGTGCACGGACACACAGATGTATTCCTTGCATTCCACTGCCTGTTTGGACCTATGTCTGCCGGATCCAATGGACACTGCCTCCAAAACCTTTGGGCAACAATTAAGGCACTGGCCCAGGCTAGGAATCTGTGGTGGACTTTGTGGCCCTTAAAAATTCTGACGATTCTGATATTTCTTCCCATGGTAATTTTAAAAATGTAGTGTTGATAAGGTGTCTGGTCTAGAGGTTAGAAGGGTCCATTAGAGTGTGCCGACTTCATAGATCCTTAGAATTCTCGTATTTGGTGTTTTCTCAAATTTGGACAGAGCAGATGTAAATATTACATACGTTAAATGCAATAGCACATACGTTTTGGCCCTCAGGTTAGCATTTATACTCACTACAGATAACTTTTAAGGGGGAAGTGAAGTCAGGAAGCAGGAGGATAACTCGTGAGTGGCAGCTATGTTTCACATACTAATTGGAACAAACAAACCAATTTCTGGGCAGGCAGCTTATAGTTTATATCTGTTGGGCTGTACACAGCTGTTCTGTTATTAAAAACCAGGTATTGAATAAATTGTGTGTAGTTCACCATACTACACAAAAAGGAATTTAATACATTTGGCAGGTTCAGTTGGTTAAAGCATGGTGCTGATAATGCCAAGGTTGCAGGTTCAATCCCCATATGGAACAGCTGCCTATTCCTGCATTGCAAGGGGTTGGACTAGATGATCCTCAGGGTCCTTTCCAACTCTGCAATTCTATGATTCAGTTATTTCAGTACTTGTGCCTTGTTTATTAAACATGTTGCTTCTAAAGTTTTGAAGAATTTGCTTTTAAATCAATTTAGCACTGTCAAGAGGGACGCGGGTGGTGCTGTGGGTTAAACCACAGAGCCTAGGACTTGCCGAGCAGAAGATCGGTGGTTCGAATCCCCGCGATGGGGTGAGCTCCTGTTGCTTGGTCCCTGCTCCTGCCAACCTAGCAGTTCGAAAGCACGTCAAAGTAGATAAATAGGTACCGCTCCGGCGGGAAGATAAACGGCGTTTCCATGCACTGCTCTGGTTCGCCAGAAGCAGCTTAGTCATGCTGGCCACATGACCCGGAACCGGCTCCCTCGGCCAATAAAGTGCTGCAACCCCAGAGTCGGCCACGACTGGACTTAATGGTCAGGGGTCCCTTTACCTTTACTTTAGCACTGTCAAGAGCTGTGTAAAAGACTGATTCAAACAACAGCCATTAAAAAACCCTATTGTAAACAAAAATTCATATTTATTAAAAGCATTTATATACCACTTACTATTTCAAAGATGTTACTGTATTTTTCGCTCTATAGTACATACTTTTCTCCCTCCAAAAATGAAGGGGAAATGTGTGTGCGTCCTATGGAGTGAATGCAGGCTTTTGATGAAGCCCGGAGAGTGAGAGGGGTCGGTGCGCACCGGTGCCCTCTCGCTCCCCGGGCTTCAGGCAGCTATCCGCAAACCTTCGGAGCGTTCCCCCAGCCCGCAAACTCCTGGAGCGGCGGCTAGGCTGCGCAACCTTGCTTCCGCTCCCGGACCTGAATTTCCCCCCCTTTATTTCCCCCCTAAAAACTAGGTGCGCCCTATGGTCCGGTGCGCCCTATGGAGCAAAAAATACGGTATATCACTAAAATAAAAACACAACCTCAAACCAGTTAAACGGCAATATAAAAGCATTCAAAAGTGAATAAAGCAGAAATTTGTAAGATTCAAACATGTAAAAAAGGTTCAATCTTAGATGTTGGGGAAAGCCTGGGCAAAAATATGTCTTCACAATACATCTATCTGAAGCAACTGGTGGTTGCTGTTTCATGAATGGCAGATGGAAGGGCATTTCACAGTTGAGGAGCAACAGCAGAAAATGCTGATTTTGAAGTCATTGCCCCAAGACATTTTATGGGGTGTGTGGTGCCATGAGAATTCCCCCCCCCAGTTGATCTAAATGACCTTAAGGTCTAAAACTGGGCAGGTGGTCTCTTATTCTTGATTAACCTGAAAGGTTAGTGTACAAATGTCTGTTCACCTGTTTTACTGTTGTGTTATAATGGTAGTCATTCCTGGCATTCATCTCCCACAAGATATAATTTGCCTCAACAGTCCCAATCATTTTTTCACGCTCATATCTAGAAAGAACAGAAATACAATGTCATGTCTCTGTAAAGGACAAAAAAGACCAAAAACAACAACAACAAAAACCATACTAAGGGTATACACTACTGTAGGCCAGAGTTCTTGCCAATAAGGCAATTTTTAAAAATATGGAACTGGTGGGGAATTGTGGTAATGAAGATAATAGCTGCATTATCACTCTTTTATCTTTCATCTGATTGGGATGGTCAAAGAAAGGGCTTAACGAATAAATATATATAAATACATATTTTCCATGGGTCTATAGTGTTTAAAAGCTGCTTACAAGAGAACAGTAGGACGAAATGGACGTGCGTAATGGACCTCTATTGGGCAACCAAATAGTGCCAAATTGTACTCTTGCACCTAGGAGAAAGGTAGGTTAAGATAAATCTCTCCTTGCCTTCTATTTGCATCAATAGTATACTTAACATATTTATTTATTCACTTTATTAGTTGCTTGGCACTTAAGAAGTCTCCAAGTGACTTACAAAACTTAAAAGCATAAAGCATGGCAGAGAATCAGAAAGAAGTACATTGTATTACAATAAAAGCTATGCAAACGCCACAAAACAGCAGAAAAACCTTCAACAGAAAAACACCATTACAGTTGTACCTTGGTTTTCAAATGCCTTCGTACTCGGATGTTTTGGCTCCCAAACGCTGCAAACCTGGAAGTGACTGTTCCAGTTCGCAAACTATTTTTGGAAGCCGAATGTCCGACGGGGCTTCCGCGGCTTCTGATTGGCTGCAGGAGCTTCCTGCAGCCAATCAGAAGCTGCACTTTGGTTTCCAAATGTTTTGAAAGTCGAAAGGACTTCCGGAACAGATTCCATTCAACTTCCAAGGTCTGACTGTAATAGCAAAACCATAATAATCTCTCAAATGCTTTGTAGGTATGTTTTTACCTCGTGCCAAAAGCAGGACCTGGTTAGGGAAAGTGTTCCACTAGTGGGAGCTATAACTGAAAATTAAATGTGTAGTTCTTACCCAGTCTTCTCCCTGTGTTTTGACCCATCGATATTTCCTAATGTGAGGAAAAAAATAAAGTTTTTCAATGGTAAGGACAATGTTTTATTTATTTATTTATTTATTTATTTATTTATTTATTTATTTATTTATTTATTATTTATCTATCTATCTATTTATCTACCTATTATTAATTATTATTATTAATTATTTATTATTATTATTATTATTATACCCCCACCCATCTGTCTGGGTTTACCCAGACACTCTGGGTGGCCCATTGCATATTTTAGAACATAATAATACATCAAACATTAAAATCTTCCTGATACAGGGCTGCCTTCAGATGTCTTCTAAAAGTCAGATAGTGTTTTATTTCCTTGACATCTGAAGGGAGGGTGTTCCACAGGGAGGGTGCCACTGCCGAGAAAGCCCTCTGCCTGGTTCTCTGTATCCTTGCTTCTTGCAGTGAGGGAACCAGCAGAAGACCCTTGGAGGAGGACCTCAGTGTCTGGGCTGAACAACGAGGGAAGGAAATGCTCCTTCAGGTATACTGGGCCAAGGCCATTTAGGGCTTTAAAGATCAGCACCAACACTTGGAATTGTGCTCGGAAGAGTGCTGGGAGCCAATGAAGATCCTTTAGGACTGGTGCTATATGGTCCCGGTGGCCACTCCCAATCACCAGTCTAGCTGCCACATTCTGGATTAATTGTAGTTTCCGGGTCACCTTCAAAGCATAGCAGCAGTCCAAGCGGGAGATAAGCAGAGCATGTACCTCTCTGGTGAGACAGTGTGCAGGCAGGTAGGGTCTCAGCCAGTGTATCAGGTGGAGCTGGTACACAGCTGCCATGGACACAGAATTGACCTGCAACCCCATGGACAGCTGTGAGTTCAAAATGACTCCCAGGCTGCGCACCTGGTCCTTCAGGGGTACAGTTACCCCATTCAGGACCAGGGAGTCCTTCACACCTGCCCGCCTCCTGTCCCCCAAAACAGTACGTCCATCTTGTCAGGATTCAACCTTAATCCGTTAGCCGCCATATATCCTCCAACTGCTTCCAGACACTCACACAGGACCTTAACTGCCTTCACTGGTTCAGATTTGAAGGAGAGGTCAAGCTGGGTACCATCCGCATACTGATGAACACCCAGCCCAAACCCCCTGATAATCTTTCCCAGCAGCTTAATATAGAAGTTATTGCCCATAGTGTGTGATTAGGTCTCACACTTTAAATTTTAGAGTCACAACTGCTCCACCATTTTCCTCATTTTTCACTACTAAATAGCTATGCACTCCATTGCAATTCCTGAATGCTCAGTCCTCAAAAGGAAGAAGTGAAACGAGAAAATCAGGAGTAAAAATTTAGCAGATTGAGGATGAGAAGGTAAATGGAGCCACTTTCGCTTACCTGACAAACCAGCAACTTCCAGCTCCTTCTCTCCTTGTTCCCCTTGCTCAATTTCAGCTGCTCATTATAAAGTGTTTTGTAACTAAGGACTACTATTTCTGATTTTGCTTCCCCAGACTCCTTTATCCCAATTCCTTTCCCTTTTGTGTCATGGCCTTTAGATTATAAACCCAAGAGCAGGGTATTTTATGACTGCTCTTTGTAAACCACCCTGGAAGCCTTTTTTCACTGGAGAATAATAAAAAAAATCAAACAAACAAACAAACAAACAAAGCTATGGAACATGGCTGAGAACAGGCATCCTATAAAATAAAATAGAATTCGTTTTTTAAAGTGCTTTTTCCAACATATAAAAAGAATAGTAAAACATTAAACATAAAAAAAACTTCCCGATAGCTGCCTTCAGACAGCTCGGGGGTTGGATAAGTCCATACCCTCCAAAATTTATCCAATTTAAATAGGGACATCCTAAGGAAAAATGGGACATTCTGGGATCAAATCAGAAACTGGGATGGCTTCTCTAAATCAGGGATGTCCCTGGAAAATAGGGACATGTGGGGGGTCTGGACTACTTCAACTAGCAAGGCAGAAAATGGCCAGCATGGGTTTCGAAAGCACGTCAAAGTGCAAGTAGATAAATAGGTACTGCTCCGGCAGGAAGGTAAACGGTGTTTCCATGTGCTGCTCTGGTTCGCCAGAAGCGGCTTAGTCATGCTGGCCACATGACCCGGAAGTTGTACGCCGGCTCCCTCGGCCAATAAAGCGAGATGAGCGCTGCAACCCCAGAGTCGGCCACGACTGGACCTAATGGTCAGGAGTCCCTTTACCTTTACCTTATGGCCAATAAAATAACATATTTACCTTATTTACACTTTCCATACAGCAAAAGGATATGGTGGAGTATAAATTTAGCAAAAGACTTAGTAGCAAGCTCAGTATTGTGTTTTGGGACAGACTAAATGGGTTTGCCAGCAAAGTTAAAATACTGCCTGCTTGGATGTTCTTTTGGAGGGAGGAATTTTGTATCTGGATTCACTATCTCAGTCTCAGAGATAACCAGCACTATCAGAGTTGGCAGCTCTGATGTATGACACCATTAAAAAACAAAAAATTGATGCCTGTACTCTACCACCTACAGAACACTTAAATAAACTGGAATAGCAGTCGAAAACAATTATTTCCATCCATATTTTATATGAAGTTTCTTACGCGGGTATTTTGAATGTAAAAGTTTGATTGCTACAATTTGTGGGTCTGTGGACATAAAAAAAGAGAAATACAATTATATAAAGATATTTATGATTAAAAGATAAGTTTGAAAATATAGCACAGAATTATTATGGTCTTTCTACATTTTATATACTATTAATATTCTTATTATTTCATTTATATATAGCTGAATGCCAAAATAGGATTCTAAAAGACTTATGAGGTATAAAACAAATTACACAAACATTAAAATATAAACATCCATAATTAGAATACACAATAAAACAATCAAATTAAAATAACACAGCAATTTAAACAGAGGACTCTGGTCAAGAGTTCAAGAGAATGCCTACATAGACAGAAGCATCTTCTAAAGCTGGAGGAATATCAGTACAAATGCAGTTTCTTGCATTTCAGTAAGGAGTGTACAGTTGGCTTGCAACTTACACAGAGGTAACATTCCAAGGGTTTGCATGCAAAGGCAGGAAGACCCCTGAAACTGCCACCACATGACTATCCCTATCTTACTGGCAGTGGCGGAGGAAGAGGGGTGTGGGGTGTGTGGTCCGCCCCAAGTTTCATCACTGAGGGTGTGTGTGTGACAAAATGAGTTGTTGTAAAAAAAGTGGGCTCACAAAACTTTTTAGGAGTGACGTGGTGACTTAGGCACCTGCAGGTTCCAAGCTGCCTCAAACGGCAGCATGGGACTTGCGTCTGCCTACTGCCTCTCCCTCAGCCACCCTACAGCTGAGGCGGAGGTGGCGGAGAGGCTCCAAGCGTTGGAAAGGCTCACCCCGCACCCATGGGTGCAGATCGCCCTGCCCCTGACTGCAGGACATGCCCCCACACCAGGCACTGCTTACTGGGCTCTGGGAAGCATGTGGGAGACCTCTGGAAGGCTGTGGGAGCCTCCAATGAAATCTTGCAGGGCTGTCCAAAATCTTGGGAGCCTCCCACTGCCTTCCAAAGGCCTTGCGTGACTTTCCCAGACCCCAATAAGCAAGGTAAAGGGCTTAAAAACTGTCCCCGCAGCAGGAAAATCCGGCTCAAAAGGCCTAGGATTAATATGAGGGAACTTTAAGTTATCTGAATTTGCTAAAAGTTAGTATTACTTCACAGCAGGCATAATTAATAGATCTCACTGCTACAAGCTGTGGTGAGGTGACAGTCACTGGCTTAGATGACTCTTAAAGGGACAAGACAAGTTTATGAAAGATAAGTCAATCAACAGCTATGAGCTGAGAGAGCTAACTTGAACCCCCAAGTTTGGAAGCATGGTGCCACTGAACAGCCTTCTCAGAGGGAATACTATTGCTTTCATGCCTCACTTTGGATTTCTGGGAGCAGGATGCTGCAGTTAGATAGACCTTGTTGGTCCTGGTACATAAGTGTTCCTTGCGTTCACAGACAGGTTAATTTATCTCACTCATCTCACCCCAAAACAGGGTTTCTGAGGTGGCTAAAACTCATAGTGAACCGCAATTAATAAACAAGATAAGAACAGTTATACAATACAGTCAACGTCAAAGAAAACCCTACAGCACCCAATCTGACTATAGTATCTACAATTATAATTTTTTTTGCAATGTAGAACATGGAGGAAGAAGGAAAAAATAGCGTTGTTACTTGCTTTTCAATAACCAGGTCTCGAAATACAGGACAACCAACATTTATGTGCGCTACCTGAAAAGAAGCACATTCTAGTAAGCCGACAGTTTCTGCCATCACACACAATATCAGTGGGGAAAAATAGTTTCTGTTCAAACTCACACCACTGTAATGGCACTTGGGGGGGAGGGGAGAAAGACAGCACAGATCTAGGTTTAAAAGCTGACATTTGAAAGCCATTTTTTGTGATTTACATGCATGAAGTACAGTATTAAATAAAATAATGCATTTTTAATGTGCATTCCACTGCACAACATGGCTAGAGAAGTCCCACTGATCACATACTTAACTACTGTCATTAATCTGATTTGAGTTGATTTTATAATGAAATGATTTTGGAATGTTGTATCACTTTAATGTTGTTAGCCGCTCTGAGCCCGGCTTCAGCTGGGGAGGGTGGGATATAAATAATTTTTTTTTATTACTTATTATTATTATTATTATCTCCTAAAGAAATCAATGTACAACTTTGGCTAAATTGTGCCTCATTTGGAGGTGTCAAGCAGTTCACTCTCCCAGAAACTACTAACTCTTGGTAGAAAGCAAATTCATAAAATACGGTACTCTGGCTGCAACCCTTAGTATAATTACTTTGGATTAAGTCTCACTGATCACTTAATTTCCAAGTATATGGGAAATTAATTTTGTCTTTAATTTTTCTAACTTTTATTGCAGTTAATGGACCTAAATTAGTTATAGCTATTCATTTCAATGGGTCTACACTGAGTTAAATATAAGACTGAACCTGGAAAACTGAAGCATCTTAAACCTACAATAGCAGGCTATAACGAAGCCTCAAGCGGTGGTTCCCACAGCGCAGCAACCCGGCAAAGGGGGTGCAGTAAGGAAAACCACCGTCACCTCTCCGCTGGGAAGCGCTGAGCAAAGGCGAGTCCCTAGGCAACGCGGCCGATTTGATCGGCACAAGGCATGCAAGCTCCACCCTCCAGTCGTTCTTAGACTCCTTATTGGGTGAGCAACGCAGCCAAGCAACACAGTTGAAGCCTCCCTCCTCCCTGGCCGGCAGGGAGGGAGGGAGAGAAGCTGCTTCCTTTGAAATCCGGGAAATTTAAGGGACATCATCAATAAGGGACAGCAGCGGGACACAGTGCTGGGATAAGGGACTTTCCCGCCAAATAAGGGACGGTTGACAGTTATGCTTCTTATCTTTTATATTTTTTGATTGTTACATTATGTTATGAATGTATGTATGTTATGCTGTATGTTATTCTGAAGCCTTTGGGCAAAAGGCTGTATAAAAATGTTTCAACAAACAAACAAACAAACAAACAAACAAACACATTCGTTGATGAGAGTCCTCCTCAACCCTTTATCATATGACAGCAATATTTTTAGACTGAATTACAATATTTTTAGTAATTCCAGATGGGCAGTTTATTGAGCATTCGTCTTGATTTTTTTTGCACATAATTTGTGAAGAGGCTATATGACACTGCCATTTAGTAGTTGGTATCTTGTGTAATTTTTCATCACTTATCTTACCATCAAAAGTCAGAAAGGGGAAAGTTAACAAAAATTGCACTGGTGAGTATATGCTAACAACCACTAGATGGCAATGTCATATAATGTCACAACCACAAAAAGTGTGAACAAATCAGGATAAACTCAATAAGCTCAATAAACAGCTACCTGAAATCAATGAGTATTTTGATTGTTTTGTTGGACAATCTCTGAAAGTCACAGCAACATCTTGATTTTATTGGACTTCTCAGCGGCTTTTGTCCCTGATATCGTTGAAGTATCAGATATTATCAGATATTATACTGCTGGTGACTATCCAAGGCAAACACTTGAGATGGTTTTAATTTTACCTCTCAATATGTACCCAGATAGTGGAGACAGAACTGTGTCTTGTGAGGCTCTTTTTATTTGGTAATGTTTGTCATTTAATATTTATGCAAAACTGTTGGGAGAGAGAATGTGGAATTTAAGAGTTTGATATGATTAATATCATGACATTGCCTAACTTTCTGCTTCATTCTTTCTCTTTATCATCCATTAACCAGAGCATCCTTGGTCCTGAACTCGTTGGTGTCTGAAGGCTACGGTCTGTTGGATAAGGAGAATAAGACTAAAACTGAACCTGGATAAAATGGAACTGATGTTGATAGAGGATCCAAGGAGGCTGGGAGCCCTTGCTACTGACTGAGGCATTTCCCTTGATAGAGTATGTATGCAGCCAAATGCTGCTTAGAGTACAGCTGCTCCTGACGATCCAGGTTGTGGTCAGGAGTTTTTTCTATCTGATCTAACCTCTGTCCTTCCGCCCAATATGAATGGCAAAACTGTATACTGAAAAATGGGGACCAGGCGGTCAGCAACCTCTATCAGCTATTATTGTAGCAGCTTTCTAAAACCTTTGGATTCAGGAAGGGCCGCTTCAAGAGGGGCCACACCACCCTGGCTCCTGTTGAGTTCGGCAAGAGCTGGGGCACCATGACGGCAGAAGTAGTTGGGGGGGGCAGCAATTCCCATTTAAACTTAGGCAGCAAAGCAGGATAGGCTGGCCAGGGTGTGGGGAATAACAAGAATCTTTAACAACATGTGTGGAATGAACCTGTGTTCTGTTCAATCAGCCATCCTGTACCTCACAATATTTTATTCCATCCCTCCTCTCACTGGGAATGTCTGTAATCCTCCTACACACTTCAAGCAGCAGTATGCGGCTCTGTCCTTATTGGGTTTTTTTTTGGGGGGGGTTCCCCTTAGGATTTCCCCTCTAATGTTGTTTTTTCCCCTTCTGCACAACACGTGGTCCTCCAAGCCAACTTTATCTTCAGACATTAAAGATATCTATCAGGTATTTTTTTAAAAAATGAAAGTTTTTGCAACAGTGTATTTGTTAGTGCTTAAGGTACTATGGTATTCAGTTGTTTTCATCCTTTTTTAAAAAGAAAGATTAGCATCTCATGCTAAAAACTTACCTTGTTGGGAGTCATACATGTTCTTCCAGTGAGGGAAGGTTCCACTTCAATTGTCATAATACCCGTTGAACTAATTCTACAAGGAAGTATCAGCCATAAAACAGGTATATTTAAGACACTTGAAATTAATCCTTTATATAATACTTATGTGTTGCTTTCACAACTGATATTTATTTCCTTATCTGTTCCCAAAATTCAAATCCACAAACTTAAGTTTTTAAGAGTTCCGTCTTATACTTGAGATTCTGGCTGGGGGATTCAGGGTCTGGTGGAAGCACCTCAATACTTTCAGAATTTAACATATATTGCTGGCATGACCGATGTCCCAGTGGAACTCCCACAATCTGCCAACAGAGCACTCTGTCAGTAGAACTGTTCCACAACCAAAGATACACTGGCAAAGCAGGCAAAACAGGATAGAGATGATGAAAATGAGAGTGGAAGCATGGCTACCCACTGCAACATGGTGCACGGACACGGCTGGGGGTATGCTAAGGGCCCCCACAAATCTGGCGATGGTGTTTGCTGTCAGTGCAGCCACTTGTATTTATCATTCATTTGACCTTTGAACTAAAAACCCCTTTGCATGAGAATTGTTGTTTCTACATATTGATTTCCTATCTGAAATAATGACCTCAAGCTTTTATAGTAACATCCCAAAAGGGATCCAGTGCTAAGCAACAGGATGAGGGATATCAAGATTTTTAGATCCCATGCCAGGTTTGTGCCCAACTTGGGAATCTGTGTGTCAAATTTTGGTTCTTTGTGGGTAAAACTTGGTTCATTTAAGAACTTCAGACTTATGGGTGAGGCCTTCAAGCAAGAGATAGCAGTTTCTGACCCTTAGCTAGCAGGCCCAAGCTATACTGCATTTGCTTATTTTGTACCAGTATCCCAAGGACAGAAATTGCCATTTACTAATTAAAGTTACATTTTTCCACTGTGCTGTCATAGGGCTCTATCATCTAACCTAGGTTCTGGAAATTTGCAGCTAAGTAGCCTTGTGATTGGCTGAGAAGTGGGATAACAGGCAAAAATATATAAAAGCAATCTACCTTGTAGTATTCCTTGCCCCAAACTAGCCCCTCTGCTAGCCTCCGGTTTATGCCCATCTTGTATTCTGAGTTTTGGTTGTTGAACTGACTTGTCAAGCCACATCTCTTTGCAAAGTCAGAGCGTGATGATGAAGTATCTTAGCTTAGGCTGTCCGATTTTTTGGTTTTTTAAAATGTATTTTCCATTATATTTCTAATTTCTTAATTGATCTCCTAAAATATTTTCTTCCTATTTAGTAACAGGGTTCTTACCACGGTATTATTTTATTATTCTTAAACATATATGTTCTGCATTTTACTGTGGTTATTTGGAAAACTGCCTTGGTGTAAACCAGTGCCTTAGATCTCTTTGATCATACTTAGCTACCATACAAATGGTTGTTTTTGCTGGAGGCTTCAGACAGCAAAGCATGGTGACTTAGCTCTTGCTCCCTGGAACCTCACAGGGATCCCACAGAGCTACAGGCGTCTCCTGGGCCTGAAGGAAAGGACTCTTAACAGGAATGGTGGCAGCATACAATTTGGGGGATTTGGTTGGACACTGAACCCTATAATCTTTACGTAGTGGCATCAGCTGGACATTAACTATTCAGAGATGTGTGCCCTAGCTGAGATACAATTAATTTGGAATTTCTTGAACGTTGTCTGAGCAATATGTTTGGGGTAAATCATTATAGACAAAAGTAGGTGGACAAAAGTTTTTTTTTTTAATACAATCTATGTTTATGTGGAGAGGACAACACCATTCATTGAGTACCTTTTTCCTTTTCTTGTTTGTACACCAGAGAAACTGATCAGTAACCTTTTTTTAAAAAAATGTGTCTAAGATTGCCCACAGCTTCCTCAAATATTAGATTTCCAAAGTTGGAAATGCAAATAGTTTTAGGCTTTGGATCTTATGGTAGAGCCCAGTTTGCTCAAATAGAAATGGTTTTAAATTGGTGTCCTGGAGAAATACTTTTAAATTACGTATGGTGCCAAGGAAAAACAAAATTCTGCCTTAATAAGTTACACAATTCTGGTATGCAATTTCCCCAGAGTTTTCACATTGTAAACTATGGCTTGGATCCAAAGAATGTGAAACTAGTTCTTGGAGACTAGGCAGACTTTATATCAGCTCCCCGTGCCATGTGGCAGATTGTGTTTCAAACTGAGACAAATTTTAAAAAACAGGCTGTGATGTGTCGCGGAAGAAGCAAGCTGTTCAAAGGGTTTAGTTTTATTAAAAATAAATAAATCTTGCATTAGTGCAAGCCTCTTGCTTTAGGGTACATGCATACAGGCAAATGTACTAATCTTCACAAAAAGGAAAGAGAATAGTCAAACTCAAATTTATGGGCAGATACTAGAAAAGATTATAAAGAAATCAATCTGTAAGCATCTTGATAACAATTGCAGTGATTAATAGAAGCCAACATGAATCTGTCAAGAATAAATCCTGCCAGACTAAAAAACTCATTTTTAAAAATTAGGTTACTAGATTATGGATTTTGGAAATGCTGTGATTTTTATTTCTCTTACTTTCAGAAAAGAATTTGACAAAGGTCTACATATTATTTTGTTTACTAAACTGGTTAAGTGTGGACAAGTGCTCATCAATTATTCCTCATCAACCCAGAGAGAGACTTTGAATGTGCTGCTGCAGGGCTCTAGTCTGGGCCTGGTTTTCTTCAACATTTTTAGTAGTTATATAGATGAAAGGGAGGAGTGAATCATGAAATTTGCCAATGGCACAAAAATCAGAATTGCTACCTAACATCTCAGAATGACCTTGATAGAATGGAAAGCTGGGTCAAAAATAGCAAAATGAAACTCAAGAGACATATGCAAATATCTGCATTTTTGCAATACATTTTAAAATTTTCAGGTGAAGGATGTCAGGAAACATGGTTTGGCAGTAGTACAAAGTTCTTGGGATTGTAATAAACCATAAGCTGAATATGAGTCAGCAAAGTGATCCAGCTGTGAGGGGGCTAATGTGATTTTAGGCTGCTTCAATCAAATCATAATGTCCCAGTAATGAGAAGTGGTAGTTCCTCTTTATTCTATACTAGTTAGACCTCACATGAGAGTATTGTGTCCAGTTCTGCACACAACACTTTAAGAGTGATATGGTTTGCTGGGTGAGATGGGAGGCTGTATGCCTGAGCCCTTTCCTAATTCCTGGATCCAGCACAGATTCAATTCCTGAAATAGCCAGGCTAGCTTCCTGGTGGGGTAGTGTCCCTCTAAGTATGAACCATTAAGGCAACAAAGGAAGTGGCTCTGTGCCAGATGACAAATAGATGAGCCCCCTTACTTCAACTCGCTGGTAGTTAGAAAGACAAAAGCCAGAGTTGAAGGTCTGAGTTATGTGAGCTAGAAGCTAGAAGCAAAGCTGCAGGCTGGGCAGCTTGGAGAAGGAGCCATGCCTGATTTCTGCTTGAATCCAAGGCTGTGGCTATGGGGGAAGCAACACCTTCTTGAGCTCATGTTGTATATATGCGTAAATAAACTATATATCATAAAGATACCACAGTCTCCAGTGTCCCTCATTGCAAAGGAAACTGAATCCTGGGTAAGCCTGGAATCTTACACTGCTTGGAGATTAGGGTGGCATGCAATAATATAGACAAATGAGAATGGGGTGATGAAGATGTTAGGTAGTATAGAAAACAAGTCCTATGAGAGAAGGTTGAAGGAACTGGGTATATTTAGCATGCAGAACAGAAAACTGAGAAGGACCTGATAGCACCCTTCAAATACTGGAAGAGCTGTCACCTAGAATATGACAAACACTTCCCTGCTGCTGTAGAAGATAGGACTAGATCTAATGGGCTTAGCTTACTGAAGGGTAGATTGTTGCAAAGACAGAACTAGCTTTAGCCACTAAGGAACAGGAATATAAAAATATGTGAATGCATGGTGATAATTTTGAAAGAGAAGAAAACCAAATAATTGCACAGAATTTGGGACCAGCTGCTGAAAATATGAGGTTGTCTGAGGAGTAGGGAGAGTTGTAATGAACATTTACAATGCCAGTTGGAGGACATGAAATAGAAAAAAAGTTCTGACACAGCAACTTAAAAAAGCAACAGGTTGCTAATAGAAATTTGGAGGGGTGTTGAAGGAACAGCTCCATGCTCAGAAGCCAATTTGTTGAATTGTTGGAGCTTATTTGGATAATGATGATGATATGTGGGAAGAAGAGTGGAAACAAAAGTGTGATAGTAAGGATATTCATTCACATATTTTAACAGTACAGGGTGTGTTGACAATAAAAGATTACAGGGGAGATAGAATAAACAGCAACAGAGAAATTGTAATGGGCTTGCTGGTGAAAATAGATAAATAGATAGATATGCTGGACTGTGGGGAAATTTGCTAGAAGGGGAAGTGGATTAGATATTAGGGGTCAAGGCTGGCATCTGTTATTGAAAGCTGGGTGTCAGATAAAACATCTTGATGGAGTTCCATTATATAAAAAAAGACTGATAAATTGTTTCTAGAGTACTTCACTGTTGTAAAGAATCTGCTGTTTTCACAGCCACCACACACTGGGTTGACATCTTCATTGAGCTATTTATCATGATCTCAATGCCTCATTCCTGATCAGTCACCTCCAGTTCCAGACCCCATGAGCATATATGTGAAATTCACTGAGTTTGGAGAGATGCTTTCAGAGCTCTCTGCAAGCTCTTTTTGTTTTCATGACTCAGAACAGTTTTGTATCATCATCAGTCTTAGCCACCTCACCACCTCACTGCTTAGTTCTAACTTTAGTTCATTTATGAACAAGTTAAAAAGCACAGGTGCCAATACTAATCTTTGGGGGACTCTACTTCTTTCCATTCAGAGAACTGTTGCTCTTCCCCTATTATGTACTGAGCCACAGCAAGGCTCTTGGTTTCAGTCTGCAACTCAGAATAGAAAAATGTCTGTGCATTAACCCCCAGCACAAGATCTTTGGTTTGGATTGGAACATTGTGGTTCTATGCTAGGGATCATTGGGAAAGGAATTAAAAATAAAGCTGCCAGTATCAAAATGGCATTATATGAATCTATATTGTGAAAGCATTTATGTTACTGTGTACAGTTCTGGTTGCTTCTTGGTGAGCAACTCCCCTCTGAAGAAAGGTTACAACGTTTGGGATTTCTTAGTTTAGAGAAGACGCAAGTTAAAGGTGACACGATGGAAGATTTTAAAATGATGCATGGCACGGTAAAGTGGATAGGGAAAAGTTTTTCTTCCTCTCCATTACACTACAACTTGTGGGCATCCACTGAAGCTGAATGTTGGAAGATTCAGGAGGGATAAAATAAAGTACAGTGGTACCTCAGGTTACATACGCTTCAGGTTACAGACTCCGCTAACCCAGAAATATTACCTTGGGTTAAGTACTTTGCTTCAGGATGAGAACAGAAATCGTGCTCTGGCGGTGCGGCAGCAGCAGGAGGCCCCATTAGCTAAAGTGGTGCTTCAGGTTAAGAACGGTTTCAGGTTAAGTACGGACCTCCGGAACGAATTAAGTACTTAACCTGAGGTACCACTGTACTTCTTCACACACCACATAGTTAATTTATGGAACTTGCTTTCATAGGAAGCAGTCATGGCCACCACCTTGAATGGCTTTACAAGAGGATTAGACGAGCTCATGGAAGAGAGGGCTATTGATGGCTATTGACCATGATGGCTATGCTTTGCCTCTACAGTCAGAGGCAGCAGAACACCAGTTGCTGAAAAGCCACAGGAAGGTAGAGTGCTCTTATGCTTGAATCCTGCTTACATAGGCACTTGTCTGGCCATTGTGACAACAGGATGGTGGATTAGATGGGCTGTTGGCCTGATCCAGCAGGTTCTTCTTATGGTCATGTTCTGAGCAGATGAAAGGGAGGCCTAAACTCCAGTAGCCCCCTGTCAGAATTGGACTATAATAGTAGCATTACAACCACATCATATTTAAAGTCCTTGTGGACAACAGAGGGGTTAGTTAGGAACTGAGCTGCAAAGGACACCTTAGGATTCAGCTGCTGAATGTACTTTACTCAGAGAATAGCTTGTGAATATTACTGTGGTTAACCAAACACCTTTAAATGAATTTGTGGGAACTGCTACTTATATGGCTGGCACAATAATAAATTTCACTGGGAGGCTGGGTCTGTAACCCATATTGATATTTTGATATGTGTAATTTTGAACCATCCATTGTTGAAACAGATACAATGAAAAAAGATATTGCGCTTGATTTACCTAATTTGAGAATATTGACTGATGATTTGAAAATGCAAGGTGTAGTTAAACAATGCCAAAGCTCTCATCATAGTAAAAAAGAGAGATCTTAAAGAAAAATGGTGGTCCATCTCAGAAGGGGACTTGGACTAAACCCATGGCCTCACTTGTAAAACCAAGAATAGATAGGATCCCCAAATTAACAGCTCCCAGAAGGCTTCCCAAGATGGAACGTGGTCTTTGGAATTAAAAAGAAGTTCCCCAGCCCTGAGCTAGTTCCAATAAGCCTTCAGTGTGCTTATGCTATTGACTCTTCTGAAATGTAAATGTAACTAATAAATTGTTAAGCATTTTCATATTTTAACTATCATTATACTTACATTCCATCTTCATACTCTCCCTCGGTTGAATAATCATGGTCATGATAAAGTGTTACAGTCTTTAAGATATAATAAACAACAATAATGAATAGTTAGTCTTAAAATACCATATATTTAAGGGCTGCAGGCAAGTAACATTACTCATTATATCATAATAAAACAGGATAGGTAAAGGTAAAGGTACCCCTGCCCGTACGGGCCAGTCTTGTCAGACTCTAGGGTTGTGCGCTCATCTCACTCTATAGGCCGGTAGCCGGCGCCGTCTGCAGACACTTCCGGGTCACGTGGCCAGTGTGACATCGCTGCTCTGGTGAGCCTGCACCAGCGCAGCACACGGAACGCCATTTACCTTCCCGCTATAAAGCGGTACCTATTTATCTACTTGCACTTAAGGGTGCTTTCGAACTGCTAGGTGGGCAGGATAAAACAGGATACTAAAAGTTAAAAAAACTTCAAATTATATAAAATATAAAATCCACTTTATCCTAGACATTTGAATCCCTGTAATGTAAGTAAGGTTATATGGAATATTACATCTTTTAGAATATTCATGTGCAACTTTGTATGTATTTAGTGAATCATAGAACTTGATTATATTAGTTCTTATTTAGTTTGTTATTTAAAATATTACAGTGGTACCTCGGTTTAAGAACAGTCCAGTTTAAGAACGATTTGGTTTACAAACTCAGCAAAACCAGAAATAGTATCTTGGTTTGAGAACTTTACCTCGGTCTAAGAATGGAATACGAATGGTGGAAGGCTACCGGTGGTGGGAGGCCTCATTAGGGAAAGCACGCCTCGGTTTAAGAAGAGTTTTGGTTTAAGAACAGACTTCTGGAATGGATTAAGTTTGTAAACTGAGGTACCACTGTATTATAATAGCCCCTTTCTGAGCTATCACGACTGAGGAAATCATTGCAGCCATATCTATAGGCTTCACGTAGAAGTGTGAGTTCATAAATCTGGTTCATCCATGGAATTCCCACTGAATTAGAAACATGCTAGTAGCCTTGAATGTGTCTGTAGCCAGTAACATGTCTGAACCAGACAGCCTGACCCAAGAAAGAAACACACAGGAAGAAAAATGCAAGATTCACCTACCTGATTCTTAGTACAAATTCCACGTGCTATTTCATATTGAATAGAGTTATTTTGCTTCAGCAAGTGTGACCTGTAGATTGTAACTTCTGTGGACAATCCCACATTTTCCAGAAAGACAATCTGGGCCCAAAAGGTCATATTTGTTCCCATATCCAGATAGTAAGTATCTGCTTCCATATTGTGCTGAAATGATATATATGGACAGACCTCTCCTAAAGGATTTGTGGCACTAAGTACTTCAGTTTTCAGTGGATAAGCCTTGTAATATATATGAGTACCATTGTTTATGAGCAAATAGAAGTCACCATGCCCATTCACATATATGGCAAAGTCTTTGGCTTCAGTTTCCCAAGCACTGAGCTTTAGAACATCTTTCATATTAAACTTTAAGAAAAACATGTCATTGTTTTTCATTTTAATCACAGTGTTTCCAGCACTGCCTATAAAAAGGAGAGAGAAAAATAGATAGAGCTTAATATAACATCTGGTTTATGTATATAATTATATTACTATTATCAATAAAAGTACAATTCTTTCTTATCTTTTCAGTAACAATGGTTGATTGTTTTAACAAACATTTGTCCTTAGTACAAATTTGCCTTGAATTGTGGCAAAAATTATCTATAGAAAACATATGCTTGTGATTCCGAACATTCATTATTTCTTAAAATTATTTGTATAGTGTCTTTCATTTCCAAGGTGATTTCTGGGGCACATTGTTTTAAATTAAAATTGGGAACACACATTATTCTTCCTTTCAGAAGGCCACATTTTCTTCTCTCATATCCAACAACAATGTGCAAACATCCTGTTCAACTGTAGGATGACCAATTAATGCTACTTCCTGGCAACCACCCTCCCAGCATGCAGCCAAACTAGGGTTCAGGGATAAATGTGAGTCTCCTGTAACTGAGCTATATTGCAGCCTCTGTCAGAGAAACCTGGGGTATTGTTATTTCCCTTACTTAGGATAATGTCATTACATACATCTGGTAGCTAAATTTTGCAAGGCACTCATCACCACACCTTATATTTATTTCAGGTATACAAACTCCTGAAAACATACTAGTGACCCTGGCAGAATTTTGGAAAGAATTGAGGTACACAGTCCAGAAGCTGGTATATGAAGTTAAGTTAGCTAGGATCACTCCTCCTGTATGAAGTGCTAGGTGCTGTCAGGACTGGTTGTTGTCCTCTTCTGATCACCACACAAACGCTTCTTGTTCTTTTATAAATTTTTATTGTGTATTAACAAACTTTTAAACGGTCCTTATCTTTAACTATTCTTCCTCAGAGTCACTTATTTCAGATACCTTCTGAGCTCTGCTTCTCTGTGACCAGCCACCCTCAAAATGGCGAAGGCGCCCTTCCCTTAGCTTTCCCGCTCTTTTTTCCAACCTCCTGCTAGAGCTGGCTTGTATCTCCCCTCCTCCAAATCTGAGCTAGAACTTAACCCTTGCCTTTCCTGGGAACATTCTGTCCCTCCCTGTTGTTCCTGTTGCTCTCTTCTGATAGATTCTGATAGATACCGCTCCGGCGGGAAGGTAAACGGCGTTTCCATGCGCTGCTCTGGTTCGCCAGAAGCGGCTTAGTCATGCTGGCCACATGACCCAGAAGCTGTACGCCGGCTCCCTCGGTCAATAAAGCAAGATGAGCGCCGCAACCTGAGTCGGCCGCGACTGGACCTAATGGTCAGGGGTCCCTTTACCTTAACTAGTATTTAAGACTGTTCTACAGTAAAGCTTTGAAACCCCTTCTTGTGGTGGAGAAAATCCAGTTCTACATGAGATAAAGATCAGGAATTCTGCTGAAGAACTCGCAAGGGTGCTTTGAGCAGGGTTTGGATGCAGCAGTTGAGTATCCACCCCAACACAGCTTTTTACTACTCCTATTCCTACTCCTACTATCCTACTATTATTATTATGCCAGGTAGATTAGTGGCAGCTGTGGCTTCCACCCACCAGGTGAACCACTGGTGAACAGATGGAGGTATACTGCCTCAAGCTCCCCTCCTCTGAGGGCCCCCCAATTGCACTGTATTCAGAATCTTGTTTATAGCTTTAATAGCCATAATCTCTGATACATAACAGGAATACATTACGGGAAGAGCCCCAGTGGTCTGCCACTGATATGTATAGTAAATTGAATGGATTTTATTAAGCTTTTCCAAGCCATTATTGGCTTAATTCATATACCGTATTTTTCGCTCTATAACACGCACCCGACCATAACACGCACGTAGTTTTTAGAGGAGGAAAATCCGTAGGCATGCCACCTGTAGGCATTCCCTCCATAACACGCACAGACATTTCCCCTTACTTTTTAGGAGGAAAAAAGTGAGTGTTATGGTGCAAAAAATACGGTAACTACTCACACATTAGAACTTTGTTTACAATGGACTCAAAAAGGCCCTAAGTATCAGCCCCTAAGGATTGAACAGGATGTATCCAACTGCCATAGCTGTGCAATTCTCCTAGGAAGTTTTTTACTATAAAAACACCTGCATATCTAGGGACATACAGATCCCCCCCATTTACACATGTTCAATTCACACATGACTGTGCATACGTGGAATACCTGGAAACCCAGATATTGGGGGGGGGCAGAGAACTGATGAGCTTCAGCAAAGCCCCACTGAGCCTCTGACACCCCCTTTGGGCTTTGGGGAGGGTCTCCTCATGAGCTGGAGGTGCAGCGGGGCTTTGCTGAGGCTCCCAGCTAACAGCTGTAATGCAGGAAAGTGCCTGCTGCGCCTTCCCACGCATCAGCTGTTAGCTGGAAAGCCTAGCTGTGCTTCAGGGCAGCAGGGCTTGGCTGACCAGCTAAACTGATGTGCGGGAAAGAAGTTTCCTTGTCTCTTTGGCTCCTGGGAGCTGGAGGGGCAGCAGGTCTTCATCGACAGGCTCAGCAGACGTGGGAAAACTTCTTCCCTGCGAGTCAGAGGGGCTTTGTTGAGTTGACAGGCAACTTGCAATTTCACAGACATGCGCAGGGGTTCAGAACACAACCCCTGTGTAAATGGGGAGTCACCTGTTGTACTTTCAAATACTATGCATTTATGGCTTAGGTTACACACTATAATTGCCAAAATCAACTAAAATAAAAACAATTTCCATTAGTAATTTATATCAAAATATACTATACTTAACCAATAACAACTTGATGAATAACTGTTCCTAATGCTGTTGCTGATAATTCCGCGCCTGTCTCAGTGTCTTTAATATATCCGGTGAATTTGCTTCCTTTGTAAGAATAAATAATCTTGTCACTGTACCACAGCAGCATAGATGATGATGCTCCAAACACAACTTCCATGTGCAGAGGGTCACTTGTAGGTGCAGGCAGGGAAAGATCTCTCAAGAACCAGTGGCCCTCGTCTTCATTAAATCCTGCCACATATAATTGTGTGGAGGTTTTGCATCCAGTACAAGCCAGTAAGACTGAAATTTCAGAAGGGACTGAATCATAGCAAGCACTTATTACAGCTAAAGTAACGTGGTCTTTGAATCCTGTCAGACTCTTTAAGACATCTACTTCCATGACTAGAGCAAACATATCAGTTATATTTCTTGATGGGTACATGAGGAATATTTCTGTTTTTGTCCATAGGATTGCTTCACTTAAATCTGATGCCAGCACCTTGGGCGTCGGATAAGATAGAGAGAGAAGTGGTGGGAGAGATAAATAATAAAATTCAGACACTGTAGGTATTGCTTAAAGCTCCGTCTTAAATTTATCATAAACAATATCAAAACATTCACTGAAAAGTACCATATTTTCCCGTCTATAAAATGCCCCCATGTACAAGATCCTCCCCCCCTATTTTGGGGGACTCAATTTTAAGCAAATGAGGGGAGATGGCCCAAAGTTGTTGAGCTTCTCCCCCCCCCCAGCTGCGGGCAGGAAACACTCCCTAGTTCGTTTCCCGCAAGCAGTGGCATCAGGGGAAGTTGTGCTCCCGTTGGCCAACCGGTTGGCGGGAGCACAACTTCCCCCGATGTTGCTGCACGCAGGAAACGATCTAGGAAGTGTTTCCCGCACGCAGCCGCATTGGGGGAAGTTGTGTTCCCACCAACCAGCTGGCTGGCAGCACACAGCTTCTCCCCCCACATGCAGCTGCGGGCAGGAAACACTCCCCAGATCATTTCCCGCTCGCTGCAGCATCGGGGGAAGTTGCAGTCCCTCCAACCGGCTGGCTGGCGGGCACGCTGCTTCTCCCTCACCATGCCACTACCTGTGTATTGGATGACCCCAGTTTTTTGACACAATTTTTGAGTCAAAAAACCTCCTCTAACACACGAAAAAATACAGTAAAAACAGTTTGAGATATAACAGATTTGCACTTAAACACTGAGTGCATGGAGCTGAATGCAGATAAGAGTCAGTCCCAATATAAATAGTATTTCCCCCACCCCAACTGTTATTTGCCATATCAGGAAAAATGTATGCCTATACACGTACATTTTTCCTATTTGCCAAAATGTAAGGAAATCTGATCTGATCACAGATCTCCGTTTGCTCCTTTGAGGTAGGGGTTTAGAATCTTCCTTTCACTTTATTCTACTAGCCTTAAATATTGCACCTGTTAAAAATTCTTCTGGATATTGTTTTTTTGGCAGAACCTGACTACAACTGGTTCTACGTTATAGAAAAGTTGCATTTTGGATGCTTCTTGCATCACCATGAGAATGGTGTGTGTGCTTGATGAGAATGGCCATTTGTAGGGTAGTAGGGTGATGCTGCACAAACTTGGCAAGTGGTAGGCATATAAAAAATCCCATAATGAGTAGTTTGCTCAAAAATCCTGAAGGAGAGGAAACCTTTTGAAACTGCAGGGAAAACTTTGCACATAAACTGTCCAAGTCATTTCCCTAAAGCTGTTTGGCCTGTCTCAGCTATGTGCCTCAGCTCTTGGTCAGGAGGAGGAAGGTCATACTTGAATGGCTTCAGTGGACTGCTGCCATTTGGCTCCTGGTCACATTATTCCCCTTTTCTTGACATTCATTAAGTTCAGTTGCTGTTGAATGCTATTTTGTGGCTGCTAACCTACTAACCAGACAGATCGAGTCTGGGAACTGAAGGAAAGCCCTTCCCCTTGCAGCCAGTGCTTTCTGAGTGTGCTACCTGTCAACCAAGAGGATATGCTTTACAGTGCTAAACTACCGCATCCCAGAAGCACTGGGCAGCAACAGGCTGCAATGTTTTTTTAAGTTGTGGTGGTATGAATAAAAAATAAGTCCACATGAACCCTCTAAAATATAAAATATTTTGAATAACTCACTTGAACTGGATAGTTCCTTAGACACCAGATTCTTTCTTTTATCCCAAGAATTCCACGTTCTGGAAGTTTATGTTGTTTTCCAACTCTGAACATCTTGTCATTGTTTATAAAATAAGCAGAACTGTCTATTAAAAATACAATGTGTACCTGTACTATGGCTACATCATTTACTTTCTGAGCTACAGCTGGATCTAATACAGTGGAGGGAAATGTGATTTTTTTTGTATGTCTGAACTCATCATGTGTTAGGAAAGCTCCATAATTTGTCACCACAACTGCTTTAGTTGTATGACATGCTGACCAAGTTATCATGAGCTCACTACCAGCTGGAGTCGAGATAGAGACATCATGTACGTTGACTGGAGGAATTTCTGATTTTGCCATGGTAAAAGGAGTCCGGGCAACAAAACAACCCTGAAAAGTAACTGGTTTTCCAATGACTACTCCAATGATGTAATTTGAAATGCTAGGCACGTCAATCTCCCAGTATCTAAAAATAGAAAAAAGTATCATATGATTACACTTTATTATCCTAAATCCAAGCATGTTAAAAGGAAATTTCTATTAGGATCTATGTAACATAATTCCACGTTATCTTATAGGATTGCAGTGCATGTCACTGATAGAAAAGCAGCAGTTCAAAAATTTGTATTATCAATGCATGTAGAATACAGCTATTGTGAAACTATTCATATGCACCAAGCTGCAAACATTGACAGATGATATACTAGAGTTTGGAAGGAGACTCCATTTCTTGAACTATCTCATTTGCTCAAAAATCTGTGTATTGAGCGAATGACATAACTAATGCAGATGGCAGGCAGAATCTGAAACTCCACTCATAAAATAATAAAAAATAGTTCTGTACGCAACAACGAGCTCTTTAGAAATGCTGAAAACAGTCTCAGCAAGCTCAAAACTAGGAATGAAAGAACTGTCAATTTTAGTTCTTTCAGATTCTCATTTTTCCAGTCTTAGGTTCTCCATATTTCTGCAGCAATTTGTGAATTTTCTTTTTCAAAATCATCATGAAAATTCATGGCATTTTAGTTTTAACTTCTCCTACTAAACACATTTTTGTGTGCAGTTTTGACTAATACACACATTGTTGCAATTTATCCTAATACAATGCATTTTTGTATTTCATTTTCATAACTATATTCATTTTTATGTCCACTTTCTCCTAATATATGCATTTTGTAAACACTGTTTTATTGGAGATCTGCATACCAAATTTCAAAAACTGTACAGTAAGTGTGAATTTTGAAGGGTGGCTGTGTTTCAGTTCACATATTGTTTTGTCCCACACCGTAAGAGGTGTCATATAATCGTGGGTGGCTCATGCAGGGTTTATATCTGGCCTGTGTTGTGCTTATTGATAATTGGGCTCATCTCAAGAGCAGTCCACCTGGCTGTGAAGGCATGGCTGCTGTCTGAATAGGGTTGGAAATGGTGCCTAAGAAACCGCTCCATAGCACACCCTCCTTTTTACTGTTACGCCAGGAGGATCAGCAGTGCATGTGAGTTCTGCCCACCAAGCTGCTTGCTGGTGGAAGATGGACTTCTCTCACCTTGGCTTCCCCTTCTTTGGGGGACTAGGGGGTTGTGCTAAATTCTTACCTTCCTCCAGCCTGGTGGAGTCAGAGTTTGAATTGCAATTTATATATATATTTACATATACCTCTTTAAAAAAGATTTTTGAAAGTGCTTATAAGATTAAGACCATCATCAGAGCTAGCCCTGTGAAAAGGGTAGGAGATACCCCCCTCATTCTGTGTCTCACCCCCACCCATTTGAAAAGAAAAGAAAAGGAAGGAAGGAAGGAAGGGTGGTGCCTAGGAAAGAGACATAAACTGACCCCGCCCCAAAGTGGAACTCCGGAAGGATGATGCTCTCACTGCAACCCACAGTGGGGATCTGACGGCGTGAACTTCCCCAAACTTATACTGCCTTTAACATTAGTTAGTGATATGAGCTTTCGTGTGCATGCACACTTCTTCAGAAGAAGCATGCACACGAAAGCTCATATCAATAACAAACTTAGTTGATCTCTAAGGTGCTACTGGAAGGAATTTTGTTTAGACTACGGCAGACCAACATGGCTACCTACCTGTAACTATAATGTTAGTGCCTCACATCGAATATAACTGATCTGTTGAAAAAATGCTATGAACGGAAAACTGAGACACTGTATGTACTTTTGTAATTCAAGAAAATATTTAATTAAAACGATTGTTTAAAAAGACAAATTCAGAAAAATGTAAATGAGCAATACCCGTCAGCTGAATATTCTGATTCTTCCAATTCTCTGCTGTCTTCACTGACGTGAAGCATCTTAACTGAAGGTGATTGTCCCAAATTCAAGAACTGTCTGGAAAGTGTCTTAGAATGCTGTTTAGAAAATGGAATGAGTTGCATATTTTCAAAATTTGCTTATATATATTTAAAGTCTTATCTGTTTTCATATCTAAAATGCTATATTTGAAATAGGTACTTCCCAGGACCAGGCTCAAACCTGAAGGATTAATATTAAATAAATATGATATTGACATTCCTTTCAGATAATAATTCTACATGTCAACAATCAATCGATTGGGTTGGAAGAGACTGGGATAGCTATCTTGGACCAGAGGAAATTTTAGCTTCAGTGATGTAAATCAATGGCCTGCTAGTGAAAGCAATTTGTGACCTTAATACTTTAATAAACTGGGCAAACAAATTATACTAAAAGTTGCTTTAAATAGAAGGTATGATTATTTATTTATCTAAAATATTTCTATACCATCCTTTGGCAGAGCTTCCAGGACAGTTTATGAAAAAAAAAACAACCAATACATAAACAACATATTTTAAAGTTTAATTAATACAATTATATACTGGTGCAATTATTTAGTTGAATATATAGCCCTTTGTTTCCATAGGAATATGGATATTTCATTACTTCCCATTTCAAGTTAGTTTATGAAGGGAGGATAACATACTTCTGGTGGTCCTTTCGCAGTATGGCTCATTTCTTTACTATCAGCATTTTCTGGGTCATAAATCCATACAACCAGAGTCTGGCAAATAAAAAATGAAAAATTTTGCAAATTTTGATGAATTTGAACGATACTGTTTCTTCCTGTGAATTATAGGCCATTTTGTGTTATAGAACTATATTAACCATGTATGTAAGCTGACTATTTAAAAGCAAATTAATAGTCCCTGTTTTAAAGTTTAAAGTTTTATAAGCATTCAGGGAAATATGATTTTCCTGTAACAAAGATATCCAAGTGCAAAAGTACTGAGAGTGCATTTCATGGCTGAAAACAGGTGCAAAGAGTAACTGAGATAACATCATAGGCGCCGACTCCATGGGGCTTGAGGGGGCTCGAGCCCCCTCAAAAAAATTTTTGGGGGGGCTCAGCCCCCCCAATAATCTCGGACGGGCGCCCTTCCAGCAGAGCGCCGCCGCCGTCCCCCGCCTCCTCCCCACCTGCTCCTTCGCCAGCCAGCCAGCCGCGCGCCCTAATCGGAGAGCCCCGGCCGGAAATCCCGCGAGAACAGGGGAATCCCGACTGGCCACACCTCCCAGCCAGCCAATCGGCTGGCTGGGGGGCGTGGCTTGCCCTATTTAGGGCCGGAGCCACTTTATTTGCATATTCATGAGCTTATTTATTATTCATGAGCTTTCCCGGGCCCCCCCAATATTTTTTCTAAGTCCGCGTCCCTGGATAACATTATGTTTTTAAGAAAAAGACATCAGGTAATTCTATGGTTTAGTAAAGTCACAGAAAACAGGATGTAGTGATGAAAATCTCTATTAAAACAATATATTGCCATTTTGAGTATGGAGCCATAATTTAACCAATAGATTTGCTAGGTTTAGCATAACAAATTAATAAAGATAGGAAATTAATCTTCATAGGTGGAAAGGTGAGAGGGTATGGAAGAAGGGCTCATCCTTTTCTGGAAGGAGCAGCATGGGGCAGTTTGCAAAGGGCTGTCTGCAAACAGGAGGAAAAAGGCATGCACAGCCACACAAAGCAGACCCTTTTGGAAGGATCAGTTGCATGCAGGATGTCTGCAGCCAATCATTCAAAAAGACACATTTTTTCTTCCCTCCTGATCAGGTGATGTGGGAAGAATAAACAGCTGTCTTTTCAATGGGCTTTTAGACAGACCTTCCCTGCCACATTTGAGCCTCCAGAGTGGACTGTCTGAAAGCTCTTTGCAAATAGCAAAAGTTTTTCAAACAGTGCTGGAAGTTCCTAAAATTGGGACTTCAAAGTTTAAGATTCAAAATGTTACATGACTCAGTCATGGCAGAAGTGTGCTAGGAATCTATTGAACAATTGTGCGCTGAATTGCCACCGAGCCAAAAGATAATAATTCATTAGATCAACATTACTGGGATAAATGCATTATCTTTCTAATGCATTCATATCACCAATTTATCTATAAATAAATCCAATAATTGTCACTATACATATATTCTGAACTCCAGTTCAATCCTAAATGCGTGTTTCTAAAAAACAAATTCCTTTAAAACAGAGGTGGTTAACCTTTCACCCTCCAGATATTGCTAAACTACAACTCCCATCATCGCTGAACATTGACCATGTTGGACAGAGATGGTGAAAGCTGCAGTTCACCAATATCAGGAGAATCGCAGGGTAGCCATCCCTGCATTAAAACAAATGGGTCTTGTTTCCCAAGAGTTTGATTCTAAATTTCTGAGAAGTAGTAATATCTCCTAGCTAGATGTGGGAATGTGCTGCTGATGGTTGCAAAGAACCACTAACTGGTACTGGGCATACAACAGAACTGATGGTTATGCAATTTTGCAAACATATTTGAGATTGGGCCGTGTATTTAGAATCACAACATAAAGCAATAAGACACATACATATCTCAGAGTTCTTACCACATGAGCGCTATGTATTGATGATCTACAAAGTAAAAAAACTGAATATTTAGTGAGCATAAAAAAACTTCAAAAAATGGTCAAAACAAAGATAATTTAGGAATTCTTATAGCAAATGAATGTTGTTAATTCAACTTAATGCATCTGCTTAATACATCTCCATTATTGTTACACATATACATTATCATGTTTAGTGTGTATAATGAGGAAATGTTCTCAAAGAAAAAATGCAACTGTATGCAATTGAATATATCATGTTGAAAAGTATGTTTCATCTTACCTTGTGAAGGAAGTATACACATACCACAAGAAACAATCTAAATCAGCATTTATAGTTAAGTAGCGTTCCCTATCCTGAAATGTCTAAAAGGGAAAGGAAAGGAAGTTAGATATTTTATTCTGTTGCAAATGAAATAATTTTGCTTTACAGTATAAGGAGTTTGAAATTCACTGGTGTCAGTAATCTTGCATTTCACATACTGTAGCATGTTACAATTCTGTTTTGTCTACAAATTTTATCTAATTAAGTCACTCATAGTCAGAGTAGACCCACAGAAATCAATGGACTTAAGATAGAAACATACAAAGCTGCTTGTCAGACCACTAACTAAGTAGCTAAGAACTGTCTACGTAAATGGTGTTTATGTAAATGGCGTTTCCGTGTGCTCTAGCTTCCATCACAGTGCTCCGTTGCACCAGAAGCTGTTTAGTCATGCTGGCCACGTGACCCGGAAAGCTGTCTGCAGACAAATGCTGGCTCCCTTGGCCTGAAGCGAGATGAGCGCCGCACCCCATAGTCATCTTTGACTGGACTTAACCGTCCAGGGGTCCTTTACCTTCACCGTCTACTATAACTGGTAGCAGCTCTCCAGGGTTTCAGGCAGGAATCTTTCCAGACCTGGCAATATAGAGGACTGAACCTGAAAGCAAAGTATATGCTTGATTCGCTGAGCTATGGCCCATTCCCAACTCATTTCACTGGGTCAACTTATAGTATGACTTGGTCAATTATTAATTAAATTTGTACACAATCCCAAGAAGGATACAATTGCCTTTTTTGCCTGTCCTCCAATAATACTTTTGTCTTATGTCCTATTTTGTTGTCTACATTTCTTTTTCTCTTTACAGAGAATGACAATTTTCGGCCCTGGAAGGGGGTGGAACAGGCTTATGTGTGACTGCTGATGCACATAGTGACCTGAAACACAGCTCCCTGTGCAAACGGGGAGTTGCTTGTACTACATCAGAAGATGCAAGGAGAAGGGTCAATGAATTATCGTTGAGGACTATACCCTTAAGATAACAGAACATGTGGCCTGGTATCTGTTCTGCCATCAAATCTCATAATGTGTTCTAACGCTGGCTGTTAAGTCGCTGTATGAGCTTAATCAAATTTTCCCCCTCTCTAAGATGAAAAACCACCAGTGATCTATCTTTCTATCTGAATAACAAAGCAATTAATGGACTGAGTCAGTTCCAAATGGAAGAGTATAATACTTGAGTGGTATAAGTAAGTGCTATATGCCAAGAACATTTGATCAAGTCCTAGAGGTACATCTCTAAAACATCACCTAAGAACTTGTTATCCCTTTAGTTGATAGTTTCCTTTGATGGTCTTGAGTATTTCTTATGTTGTCCTATTATTTTATTTTTGCCTTTTTTACTGTAATTCAAATCTCAGATGTTTAAGATGAGCAGAAAACATTTAAATACATTTTAAAAAACCTTTTCAATATCCAGAATATACTCTCTTTACGTGCTTGCTCAAAAGTTAAGTTCCAACTTATGTTTGAATAAGATGGAAGTAAATTGTTGGTTCTGGGTCACAGTTACATTTTGAAGATACATATTAAAAGTGGATTATATAACATATATATACGCCACCACTCATTTCACCCTACTACTTGAGCAGGAAAAACTGTAGGTTAATTTTGAATAGGGAGCTACTACTAGCTAACTCAATCACTGTTACAGACGCTTCAGGTTACAGACTCCACTAACCCAGAAATAGTACCTCGGGTTAAGAACTTTGCTTCAGGATGAGAACAGAAATCGTGCTCTGGCGGTGCAGCAGCAGTGGGAGGCCCCATTAGCTAAAGTGGTACCTCAGGTTAAGAACAGTTTCAGGTTAAGAACGGACCTCCGGAACAAATTAAGTTCTTAACCCGAGGTACCACTGTACCACAGTAGTAATTCAGGAACTAAACAGAAACTATTCACAACTTACCAGAGACCCCCGAATCTTTGGTTTAACCATATGAGTTCCAGCAACTGGACAATTCAATTCTGGGGTACGTGAACTAGCATAATAAAAAATAAGTAACATGTCTAGTGTGAAGTTACTTAGCACTGACAATATATTATAGCCCTAAATATATGTATTAGTTATAGAAAAATATATTGATCCATTTAATTGTGATTTGGTCCTCTTATATGTTTTATGCATTTTATAATCAACAGCTTTAGCATCGTATTTCCATATTTGCATTGATAAACCTCCACTCAGATAATTCCTAGCATTTTAATATTACAAAGTAACAGAGTAATGCTGCAAATTGCAAATATCCCTCTAAACAATGGGTGCTGGATATAGGGGGCAGAAGGGGCTTCAGACCCTCAATATTTTGGGGCAGGGGGATCAGCCCCCCTCAATACTGAGGGGGCCGCCACCCCCACCACCGGGTGAGTGCTCATCACCTGTATATTGTGGGGGCTGACATGCTCTGTGTGCCCCCGCCCAGGAGCTGGACGGGGACAGGGACGAGCGAAGGCAAAGATCATCCTCCTGCCCCCCAGCCTCTGCCCAGCAGCCCAGGAGGCTGGGACCAGTGAGGCACCACTGCCTCTAAGCCAAGGAAGATGGGGAAATAAAAGCATGATTATTCATTCATTAAACTATCTACCATGCATTGATCCACATTCTGTAGACCTTGAACAGTATGACAAACTCCCTGGTACTAAGCAAACTTGGACAGTGCTGCTAACCTTCAAAAGTTCCATCATACCCAGTATGCAGCTCAGAATGAAGAGGCTTATTGCTTCCCTTTCTATATGCCCAACTAGAATGCTCTTAGATGAAGGAAGAAAATCATTATCTACATGGATGACACTGAGTGCAGCTCAGGGGGGGGGGGGTAAACAGAAAAGATACTCAAGAAGCCCCCAGACTATAACCAATACAGGAAATCAGAGCAAAGTCCAGCAGATGGGACTTCAGTTAAACTGCCAAAGGGAATTGATGGATATTGCAACACCTCTTAAAAGGTTTGGAACTGGCAATATTAATTTGACCAATAATAAATATAATAACTCTGATGAGACCCTGGACATATTTTCCTTTAAAAATAAAATTGACAACCCCACACTTAGAAGGGGACCAAGATACTGATTATTCCACCAATCAGTCAGGTCTCAGTACTGGAGCAGTAATGATCAACCTGGTCTGCCTACCACAGGAAACACCTGCATCTGCCAAATCCGATTCTATAAGAGACGTTCCCAGTACTTTTGACTCATTTTTTCCACTCAGATTTCTAACTCTGACCTATTAGCAGGCCTGACACAAAATCCTGTCACCGAGTGAATGATTCAGATCAGATCCCAGCTTCACAAAGCGGTGCAGGGTTGGCTGGGATCGGAAGATCCGTGGCTATTGCATGCCTTGCCATGTCCTCACCATCAGGGAGTTGAGCCCTTTCCACACATTCTTTTTAGGATCAGGAAAAGAAACAGTGGGAACAACTAAGCCCTTGTATGTCATTCGAGAATGGAGGCAACTATCCATTGTTGGACCCATAACCTAGGTTTAAGGTGCCATTTATTTATGAATATTTATTGAATTTTATAACAAATAAAGATACAGATCTCAATCATCATGTTATATACCATTGTTCTCCCTCCCTCCTCTGGATTTCCCTCAACTCCCCCCTGCTGAGTTATTTAGCTTTATTTATTGTATCCTGCTTTTCTTATATAAAAGTTCCCTTATCATTTCTCTAAAATATCTGTTACTGAAATAGAGTTGTGAACGTTTATTCAAACCCTGCCAGTGAATCCAGTTCATTTTGTTGTTTCTGCAAATAGACTGTAAATGGTTCCCAGACTCCTTTGAAGTCCTTTTTGTCCTCTTGTAGTTTGTGTTAGCTTAGCCAATTCTGCACAGTTCATCAATTTTTCTTGCCATTGTTCCTTTGATGGTATTTCTTCCAATATTGTCCAATCAAGATTCTTGCCGCTGTTGTAGCATACATAAATAGTATCCATTTTTCTTTTGGCAGCTCTTGGTTTGAGATACCCAACAAAAAAGCTTCAGGGTGCTTAATAAAGTTCATTTTTTCAATTCATTATATAGCATTTCCCAGTATTTGTTAATACATTTGCATTTCCACCACATATGATAAAATGTTCCTTCCTTTTCCTTACATCTCCAGCATCTGTTATTTTCTTTCCTAAACATCTTTGCCATTTTCACTAGGAGAATGGAAGCAACTATCTATGTTCAGTTCCTTTCCAACCCTCAATGGCTCTCCAAGAGACTTTCATTGGCCACTCCTGAGTGGCACCACTGGCAGTCAGGAGATGGAGATCCCAGGGTGTTTGATCTCAACTGGGAGAAAGCCTAATTGGAGCCTCCTGAAAAAGCCTTCTTTCCATCTGCAAGTCACTGTGGAAGAACCGTAACACCAATAACCTCCTGCAAAAGGACTTTTCTTCATCACGGACCTAGTCTAACCTTTATCACACAGCTGTGACGCAACAGGGTAGAAATAATAAACTCGTGCTAGGAGCCTCTATGACAAAAGTCTATTATCCAAACCATGATTATTTAAAGGACAATTTGTGTGAACGTATCAACATTTTAACATTCGTCTCCATGTTTCCACGTGGCAGTTTGTCTTCTGTGTGTAAAGGTAAAGGTAAAGGTACCCCTGACCATTAGGTCCAGTCGCGGACGACTCTGGGGTTGCGGCGCTCATCTCACTTTATTGGCAGAGGGAGCCGGCATACAGTTTCCAGGTCATGTGGCCAGCATGACTAAGCCACTTCTGGCGAACCAGAGCAGTGCACGGAACCCCCATTTACCTTCCAGCTGGAGCGGTACCTATTTATCTACTTGCACTTTGACGTGCTTTTGAACTGCTAGGTTGGCAGGAGCAGGGATCGAGCAACGGGCGCTCACCCCATTGCGGGGATTCGAACTGCCAAATTTCTGATCGGCAAGCCCTAGGTGACAAATCTTTTTAAAATCAATAATCCACCTGCTCTATGGGTCCAGAAAAATTATCTGTTCTCCTTGTTAACAAAAAATAAAATAAAAATGGATTTCAGTAGTAGCAAATTCCATTTTCTTCTTTCCTTCTCCACACTCCCATATTTTCCCCCCTGCATATCCCTCTCAGACTGCCTCTGACAGAATGTTTTCTAACCATATGTAACCCTAGGCTGTTTGCAGAAGGGGCTAATAAGAAGATCATTGAATTTATCACTGCCCAAGTCCAATAACTTTTCAAAGGGGAATATTGTTGTCCTGTAGCCACCACAAAGTGGGGAAACCTTTTCACTGAGTAAGCAAGCTTAGTAGGACCAGTCTGATCCCTAAAGGGACTGTATTGCCTGAAGAAGAGAGTGTGAGATTAGGGGCCTGAGTCTATACTGTGGGTGAAAGCCCAATAAAGCTGGAGTTAGAATCATAGAATGTAGAGTTGGAAGGGACCACAAGGCTCATCTAATCCAACCCCCTGGAATGCAGCAATATTTTGCCTGATGCGGGGCTTGAACCCATAACCCTGAGATCAACAGTCTCATGCTCTACCAACTGAGCTAATCCCAGCGTAGACAATATAGCATGTATTGTCTTCAACTGGGGCTCATGTTTGAGCATACTCCCCATGGAGCACATAGAACACAGGGCATTCACTATTCCACTCCCCCAGGACAGCCCCACATCTGTGTTACACATTTTTGCATTCCTTACCTTTTATCATCAATAGTACATAATACGGAATATTCCCATTCAACAAATGAAGCTCCTTCATACACTAAATGTATCTAGACAAAGAAAAGATAACTTGGAATCACTCAAGCCCAAAGCTGCCAAAATGACTTTAATCAAATCAAATCAAATATCTTTAATACGGTCAATGACCAGCAAGACTTTAATCAAATATTGGGAATCCTGGCACAAATTATTGTGTTGGATTTCTGCATGAATTGGAATTCAGCAGTGAATTCTCCAGCCTACTTTTGTAAATTTTTGAAAGCTATGACAGTGGAATGACCAAATTCTGAGATGTTCCTTGTTACTAGGGATGGGTCATGGTTTCCCACTGCCCCCACCAGACCTCCCTGCCCCTCGTAAGGGAGAAAATTGGGGCAGGCAAAAGTCACTTGACTTTCGGGGTGGGAATGAGTAAAGTTACAGTAACAAGGTGGTTCAAGATTTGACCCAGTTCTACTTGCCAAATTAGATCTTAGCCTATGTATGGACAGTAGTCTTAAACATGAAGTACTTACACCAGTTCTTGCAGTAAATAGAATATAATGCCCTACTGAAGTTTCATATCTGAAAAGACAGTAAAAAACAAGGTGCTCATTAACAAAGGCAAAACTCTTCATAGTTTTTCGATGTTAATGAGCACACGCACACCTCTATACTATACATGCAGTTTGTGATTTAAATATCTTGGCTTCCTTGAGGAACCCTGGTCTGATCAATTACCGGTAGATATTCATTGCTTCCTTAAAGAATTACTGTATCCAGCTGTCTGCTTTATCTGTTGGTATCTGTTGGATTTTTTGGCCTGTTTCCCCTGCTCAGGTATGAATTGAATAAACCAAGAGAAGCAGAAAATATTTGAAGGTCTCTCTGCTGATCTCACAGGATAAAGCAGTCCCAGGGAAGTCCTGGGAGGACATCCCAGAGACCACTGATCCTTCTCTGAGGGTAAAGTGAGAGGTCTGTTGTGAGAGTTCCCACACTGCTGTCATGGAAAATTCTAGTCCTTGCCTTCCAACACTACAAGCTCCAGTGTTTGTAGACGCAAAGAGGGTGCATGCTGAGGGCAGTCTGGTGATGGCATGTTGCCAATGAATGGATCCATAGCATTCTCTGTCCCCTGACATGCTTCTGAAATGGGGAAAATATATGCCAGCCCTGTGTACATGCAGTTTCTCTTCCACTGGAAATAACGAGAGGGAAATTGGCTGCAAAAATAAAAACCAGAAATAGCCGCAGGAGGGAAAATGCCACTCTGTCCTCACTTCTGCCATACCAGCGCAAATATGGCAGAGAACTGGATAAGATGGTTTGCCTGCTTTCAGTTCATCTCTGCCAACATGGTAACATGGTTCTGTTAATAAACCTATTCACTATAGACAAATAATGTATCTTAGTAAGGAGTCAGGTCCTAACATATCTTAGCAACAAAGATCTCCGACCCCTGCAGTGTGAGTGTGTTTGCCAGACGACCTTCCCTTCGCCTAATTTGTCAGCCGCCTTCCATGTCGGAGAGTGGGCGCATTGGCTGTGCTCACTTTCACTATGCCCACCACTGGCATGCAACCCTCGGAGGGGATTCCAAATGGGGCTCTCGGACTGAGAAGAGTGAGCAAACCGAAGTACAGTGGTACCTCGGGTTACATACGCTTCAGGTTACATATGCTTCAGGTTACAGACTCCGCTAACCCATAAATATTACCTCAGGTTAAGAACTTTGCTTCAGGATGAGAACAGAAATCGTGCTCCGGCGGCGCGGGAGGCCCCATTAGCTAAAGTGGTGCTTCAGGTTAAGAACAGTTTCAGGTTAAGAACGGGCCTCCGGAACGAATTAAGTACTTAACCCGAAGTACCACTGTAACGGCCCCTGGGTGGCCGGCTAGGGGAGTGCTCTGCCTCATATCTGTTACCTTTCTCTTCACAAGATGCAACCTGCACTCACCATGAGGGCCGCTCGCTACCCTGAGCCATGGACACCCCCAATTCCTCGTTTCCTCTCTCGCACCCTTAAACCTGCCTCTCTGACATCCCCTTCCCAACCCGTTCAGCCCCCCGGGCCATCCTTCTCTCCCGCACCTCCACACTGCCCAGCATCCCTTCAACCAGAGGCAGAGCAGCAGGGGCTTGGCCCACACAAGCGGGGACAAAAAGCGCGCCATCAGCGCTGCCAAAAGAACGGCCCCCAAACCGCCGTTAGCAACCGACGCCGCCTCGCGCTCGCTCTGCGTCTTCCAATAACAGCGCGGACGGCCACAGTGGGGCGAGCGAGCAGCGCGCCGTCCCGCCAGCTGAGGCGAGATCCGGGGCGACTGCGTTTCCCAGCATGACCCGCGGCCATTTCACGGCGAGACTGCGAAGTTAGCCGCGCGACACTATGGGCAGCGTAGTTCCTTCTATATATGGGCACGAAGCGCCGGCATTTAACATATTATGCAGATGAAGGGGCGGGCCTCCTGGCACGCGCAGGAGCGGGATGCCAAAGGGAGGCCGGTAGGCGGCAGCAGGAGCCGGAGCGGGATGCGGCAACTGTGAGGGAAGGCGGGGATGAGGTAGCCGTCGCCGGCAGATTCGGGCGCGCCGCTTCCTCCCTCTGCTCCTCGCATGTGCCTTAAGAGCAATACGGAAACCTTCGCCTGCGGGAGCCATGTCTGAAAACGGCTCCACGCCCGCCGCCGCCACCATCCCCAACGGCGGGGCCGCCTCCCGGCACCCCGGCAATAAAGTGGCCGTGGTGCTGGGGGCACAATGGGGCGACGAGGGCAAAGGGAAAGTGGTGGACTTGCTGGCGCAGGACGCGGACATCGTCTGCAGGTGCCAGGTGAGGAGCCGGGCGGGCCGAGTCACCTTGAACTCTCCCGGAGGCGCGCGCGGGGAGGCGGCGGGCCTCAGAGAGAGAGAGAGAGAGCGGACCCCCCGCGGCTCTTCCCGCCGCCGCCGCCTCGGTTTCTATAGTAACTGCCGCGCTCAGGCCGGGCGCCGCGATTTTTACCCGCCGCCCTGGTCTAATCAGCTGGCCGTCAGGGCGAGCCTCTCCCCTTCGTTTCCCCCATAGCCGGCTCTTCCCGCTTCCTCCATTGTTGCGACTGAGCTGGGCTGCTGCTTCCTTGCGAGCGCCTGGAGCCGCGGAGCCGCCTCCCCACCCCGGCCGACTACGCTGCTTTGTGACGGACGGCAGTGGAGAAGGACGGCAGCGACCTGTTCCTTCCCTTCCGCCCCCCCCCCGGTGTTTCTTTTATCTCTCTCTACTCTGACGGTTACGGCCATTTCCCGCCGCCCGCTTCTTTTTCTCCTCGGGCAGCCCTGCAGTGCCGCAGCGGCAGCTCTTCGCCTAGGCGAACGAAATGCAGCGGCGGAAAAGAGGCGGCTGAAGGAGCTGCTGGCAAGGCCTTGGCCAGCCCCTTCGCCAGGAAGCTGTTGTCTTCCTTGAGGCTCCATCATGAGTTCACTGGCGGGAGGAGAGGTTCATCTCAGGTGTTCCGCTCCTGTTGTGTTGCCTGCCCAAAATAAGAAACAAGCGTCCTCCTGTTTTCTTCCCCTCTGTGTGATACCTGATGTCTAAAGAAAGAGATCCTAGACCCAGGCTTCTCTCTTTTTCTCCCTCTTCTTATGGCCAATCTGGTATAGCTAATTTCTTCCAAGTGCGTGGATAATGCTGTTTAAATAATACAGGTAATGTTAAGATCCTAAATTCAATTGAAAAATCCTTATCAAAACGTCTATTATCTTTCATTAAGTGATTTTGATGGAAACGGATAATCCAAAGAACAGGTAATGGCCCTGCAGTCTCTATCAGAATTGCAACCAGGACAACCTAGGATCCAAAGTGCACCATGTGCATGCCTAAAACTCTGCTTTGCATACACAAAACATGGGTTGTTTTCATCTTACTAATGCAGCCTCTTACACAGCCTTAGGATTCTCCAGTCTTCAGAAGGGCAGGGGAGGGGTGGAGAAAGAGCAGGAAGCTCAAGAGGTGGTGATGCAAAGTGCCCTGTTGAATCCATAGAAGTTCATACACAATTCTTTGGGTGCTTTGTTTCTAAATTGTAGTCTGTGTATTTCAGAACATGCTCAGGTTGGAAGTGCTTTCTCAGCCTTAAACAATGAAGTAGGAATTCTGTGCTTAGGAGTTGAAAAAATCAAAAGACCAGCCATACCTAGACTACTTAGAAAAAACTAAGGCTGCCATGTTGTTGTTTTTAAGAATCTGATCCAACTGTTTTGCACATGACACTTCTCTTATACTGATGTAAAAAAGAAAGTATGTGCATAATCCTTTGTATATATATTTGCCACAAATACTGATGGGTTGTATTCAGTTAAGTCCTGCTTAAAAGTAGATTAACTTGATGTTAATGAACCTAAATTAGTCATGGCTGTTTACTCTGAGCAGGACTCACTTTGAATACCACCCCATATTTAGAAGCTACAAAAGTTTATACACACTTCTTTTTTATCTGCTCCAAATGTAAGCACCTGTTCATATCATAGTTGGTTGTGTTGAAATTAGTAATACACTGTTATGCTCTGTCTCACTTTTCTGAGCTGTGAGAAGTTCCAGGGACATGGTGTTTATCTGGATTTCCTTCCATTTCAGCAGAGATTTATAGAATTTTGAATTATTTTACTTTTAATTACATATATACAGTGTCATATAAAATCTCCAGAGACAGGCAGTTCTCAAGAATGCTTTCTCTGCCTGAACTAACAGATCCCCAAATCTCAGCTCTGTGTCTTACTTGAAAATTATAGAGCTGTCCGTTTTGTTCCCTTTCCCAGATATGCATTCTCCTAGATTGCATTATCCCTAGCTGTAGGGTGGGTAGATGGGTGAGATAGAAAGCTACTTTGTACCAAGTCTGACCACTGATTTATCTAACTTAGTATTGTTGACACTGTATTGTTGATACATGTACTGTAAGGTGTTTTCAGGGTTTCTGACAGAAGCCTTCCTCAGCCTAGCTTTGAAGATACCAAGGATATCTGGCATGCATACGCTATACCCAAGGGTGCTTCTCTGTTGCTGGTAGAGGTGGCAGGGCACCCAGCATGAGGCCAGCTCTGGCTCTACCACTGAACTATGTCCCTTCTTTTCAGGTGGAAATATATCACCTGACTATCCTGGGTTATTAATGTAAGTAATGTACATTCACCCTAATTTACTATAGCCTGAAAATCTGAAGGAGTGACGGCTTAGGCTGCAGTTCCTTTACTCTCCAAGTGAGGAAATGGGACTAAAGTAAATTGTAAATTTACTACAGTAAATATACAGTAAATTGCCTGACTATATTTATTTCCCTGTGTTTATGTACTTGTGGACCAGATCTTACAAGATCTGTTGAAGCCAATAAGAAGCTACATTAAGGCAGATGAAGCAACATTTTGAAAAGTGAGTTGTTGACCCATTCTCCTCTCTAAAAGATAATATGTTTGTGTAGTTTAACTAGGACTTAAGAGTTGGGGAGACAGGGAAGCACCAATCTTTCTGTGTGATTCTTGAGAACTACCAGTCCTAGAGTTCCTTGTGTGTTGATTGGTGGGAGAGACAAAGCACCATAATAATTTCTGACATTGATCCCAAGGACAATGAAAGCCAGTGTTGCTGGTAGGATTAATGGGTCCCAAATATATGTGAATAAATGTCCACTTAATAAGCTACAGTGCAGTTAAATGTCATTAGTATTATTAAATGTATTACTTACCCTTCACCAGCAGAGTTACAGCAATTTAAAATTCAGAATTATAAACATTTGGAACCAGTTACAGAATAGGTCCAGTACTGAAAACACACATCTTGGGTGTGTGTTAAAGGCCAGGATAAAGAGGTACATCTTCAACATTTGCTGAAAGCTGTATAAGAAACCAGATGCACCTCTGGGGGAGAGAATTCCATCACTTAAGGGCTGCGCTGCCACAGAACATGCCTTTTCTCACCTGCAACTTCTGAGGGAAGAACAACTACCAAGAAGCCCCTCTCTGCAGATCTTCACAAGGGGAAGGGGGCCTGTAGAGGAGACAGTCCTTCACATATTTGAAGTATAAGTCATTTGTGTTAATCTAGCATGAAAACAAACAAACTGGTAGCCCAATACAGCTGTTCTAGAACAGGGATTATATGAGTTCTGAAGACATTAATCTGCCTGCTGCATTTTGAACCCGTTGAAGTTTCTGAGTTTTCTTCAAGGGCAGCCCTCATAAAGATAGTCCTACATATCTTTTGCAAACTGTCGGTGACTGGCAAGCTGAAAATTTTCAGCAAGTCTTAACATTTATAAAAAGCTGCACTTTTAGCTACTATGGGACAAAGACAGTTAAGATCCTGGCTTTTTATCTGTCTGGTGTGAACTTGCAAGATAAATAAGGTTTGAGAAATAACCTATGGTTTTGCAAAGAAAAATACCAGAAAAATAAAATTTTCAAGTAAATTGATCACTTGAGAAAGAAGGGAAAAGATTGAAAGGCTAATATACTTTTGTTAAGACAACAAAAAAGTGTCAAAATGGTTGGCAAACTTTGTAGAACACTTCTTCATGTTGGACGTTAAGAACACAAGAAAAGCCTGAATCAGAGCAAAGGCCCATCTAGTCCAAGTATTCTGTTCTCACAGCACTCTGTTTTGCAACAACATTGGAAGGCCACAAGTCCCCACCTCTGACTTAAATAATAGTCCTATTCACAGAAATCTGAAACCTTAACAATTCTTAGAAGTGAGATTTTTAACACACACAATCTCATCCCAGTTTGTTCTATTAAAATGGTGCTTTCCAATGCCTGCTTTTGATGCAACAACTTTCAGATAAGGAGAAAGCAAATTAGATTATTTTCTGAGGTGATAACATATCGCCAGTGTTACAATACAGTACAGCATATGCTGCACGTTGTTTTCTTGTTTGCATTTAAAGGAAAATGTATAAATGTAGCTTGTAAAAATATTGTGTACTTTTGAGAATCTGGTCATAAAGTGTGCCTAAAAATCATTGTGGTGAGTCTGATTTCTACTGAAGTGCAATTAATGGCTAAACCTTGAAGTCTGTTTAACTGTTGAAGTAGGAAACAAGAACCACACATCAGTTTCTCATTGAGCAACATTCTGCGTTTTCTTACAAAGATCACATACTACCAAGTCATCGGCAGTATTGCTTCATAAGCATTTCCCCCCCTTATTCATCTTTACAGAACCACTGCACCTTAGACTATGATGGGTTATTAGCATTAGGAACAAGTATAATACACCCTGAGTAGAGATGTGAAGGCCTGGGAAAAGTACTGGAAAAATTGCAGGGAAGTGGTAGGTTTTAAAAAAATCTGTTCCCCCCCCATCACATCTCTAACCCTGAGCATCTCTTCATATTATGCTTTGCTTGTTTGCAGTCATTATTGGAAGGAAATGATAGCTGTTGCATTTGTGTATAGAATGGGCAAATTGTAATTTGGACAGAGTTGGATACCACAGAGCAAGTCCAATGGAGCACTGGTTGATCCTTCTGTACTAGATTGGTTTCAATTACTGTGGTCTGAGGATGTGGCAAGCTGATTGTAAAATATGCAACTAACCACCTGCCCCTTTCACCTTTGCCTGTCTTGGCTTCTTGGACTTAGATGTAGGGGGTTGATTGGGTGTGTCTGAGGATTAATGCTTCCCTGGAGGAGAGAAAGTACCCGCCTTGAAGTGCTGCATTAAAAAGTGGTCTTTAAATAGACCTCCCTGCAGTCAGATGTGTTGGACAACTATTGCCCAGTAACAAATATCCCCTCTTTGAGCGTGTTGTGGCACAGCTTCAGATATGTTTGGGAGAAAGTGATTGCTTGGATCCATTC